ATCAATCTCCCAACTTATACTGACTTCACCCATATGTAACAGGCCTCAAAGTGGGCTTGCTTTGTAGCATGTCCAATTCTCTATCAGGTTTTCTTTCAAACAAAGATGCATGTACCGTAATATTGTCTATATTTTTTTTTGTACATATAATATTTAAAAAAAATTGTTGAAACAAATACACCGGTGAACACATCCACATGACCTGAAACTTATGTAACAAGTCATGTCATCATTTTTGGTTGGTTCTGCCACTTTTGATTCACCTTCCTTTATTCACGTGAAAGTGACAAATACATAAACAGTCGCTGTTGCTCAAGGCAAGTCCATAATGAATACGTCCATTGCATGAATTTAATCAATGAATGTTAGCTTTCTCTTACAAAACTCTGGAGGAGAGGCCCTTCGGAATATCAGCATTTACGTACTGTAAATGCTACATTATCAACAGCAATAGAGCCGTGATCTGTATGAGAGACACGCAGTGCTGGACATCGAGTTGCATCCATTCCATCTACCCTCCCACTGCTGTGATGGCGAAATCAAGGAAGTAGTTACGGAGTAGCCGTATGGGCATGGACCTGCATCATCAAAGGAGGGCTGCTGGCTTCGAACAGTCCGCAGTGTACACTTGTCATGCGTGATGGGGTGCCGACATTGCCCATCGAATTGCACCCGAACTAAAGTAGCCTCTCGGTGCATCGACTCGCTCGGAGGCTATACTCCCTCATCATCTCGATCATCGTTGACATTCGCTGACTCACTAGGCTCCAGCTTTTTATGCTTGAATCTCGTGGTGGGTGGAGTGGTGGTGGTGGTAATCACTGAGATGCTTGGCGATAGGAACGAAGCAGTGGTTATATATTCGGCATTGTCATCTTGCGTACGACTTCGCGTATGATAGTCTTATTATAACCAGTTTAATCGTCTGGTAAGCTGGAAAACTCTGAACGCCCTCGATGTGCTCGAGTTCTCAGGTTTGCAGCTCGAGGCGATTTCGACATGCTCGTCTCGTCTCTGCCTGCTGGTCTGCTCTGTTTTGCTCTGCTCGGATTTCGGCCCCATGTTGGATGCGCGGCCCGTTTAGCCGGCCTGGACTTATCAGCCCCACATTCTGAGGAGTCAGAAGATAGAGGAGACATGACGATCGAAGAAACCTCGGCTTTCCTGTCCAGCCCGGCACGTTTTCACTGGACGGACGAGGTCTCTCCATTCTGGCCTGTGCTATGTTTAGCTTCTCGCATGATGTTGTAGGACGAGGAGGAGGAGGAGGAGGAGGTCAAGCGGTTCTGGCTCTAGAGGGCTTTAATCACGGAACTCTGCATGCCTCTGCCGATAGAACCAACGAGGAGCACTCACCCAAAAGACGATGACGAGGATAAAGAACGAGTCAGGATCCATCCAGATGGGCTGGGCTGGGCAGGGATGGTTCGTTGAGCTGGTTGCCTGCGACGCCTCCGACGAAATTGAATGCTGTCTTGATCTATCGGGGAGCCAGCCAGTCCATTTCCCACTCAGAGCAAGCAGAGAGCTCGGTTCTGTGCATGAACGCATGATTCCACCCGTAGAAACACCGAACGGTGACACCGAAAGGTGGTGACAGGGAGAAAGCACCATGCCGCACGGGCAGTCAGGCAGGCAGGCGGACAATCTCAGTGCTTTCTTTCTTCACCTCTCTCTCTCTCTCTCTCTCTCTCTCTCTCCAGAAGCAGAGGTCGACAGATCGAGATCTCGACGGATAGATAGGTCCGCTAGACTCTACGGTGCAGCTTTTGCTGCCGGTCGAGATTCATCGGTCCCCTCTGATCTTGGTTCCCCAACCAACCCTTTCCCGCCTCCCCTCCCTCCTCTCCCTCGCAGCAGGGACGCTTTTCCAAATCTGGCCGGCCCGAGACTTATCGCTTCCGGCACGAACTTCTCTCCGCTCTGTTTGAACACGGCTCATGCCGATCGCCGCCTTCGTGGGCCCCAGATTGGCCCCTCGCTCGGAATAGACGGCTTTCGTTCGATAGTGCCGACCCGGACAGCCAGAGTTCGGTTGTTATCCCGAAGTCCCCGACATTGTCTCCCAACGGATGTTACCACCCGGGGCGGGGGGCTGGGCTCTACGGCTCACCGTCGACGGACGGACCAACCACCGGCGCAGCCCCATTGGGCGTCGATCATCGCCGGGCACATGTCCCATCGAGCAGGCAGATGGGGGTGGGGTGGGATGCGATGGAAAGTGGAGCATGTCGGTTGCACGAAATATCCCGAGATATTCATACATTTCCCTAGTCCTCAGGGCTCAGGGCTCAGGGCAGGAAAATCTGTGTCTGGCATGGAATATCAGTTGTGAACCAACGAACATTCAAGAGAAAGCCAATCCATTCTGACATGGCCCGATTTTGCTATTTTATTGTGTGCTCCCTCGTCGTTACCTCAAGCATCGACCTAGCGAAATTCTGCGATGATGATCAATAAACAGCAGCTTGCTTGCTGCAACACCGAAGAGGCTCGGTGTCGGCAAGCAAGAGAGAATCAGCGAGGTGCGCGGAAGAGCATGATGATGATGATCCCGTGCCTCGTGAGTATTTCCCAGTTCCCGTGGGTTTAAATCGGTAATGACTGTGATGAGTTGAACCACGTCTCGGGAGTCTCCCGGAAGATGTAAAAGTCGCAGCAGCAGCGTGGGCGGGAAGGGATCGTGATGCATGCATGCGAAGTGTCCCCAGGATATGAAACCGTGCCGACGGAGGAAAAGAATGGGGCCTACCTTCTTCAAGCCCGAGAATCCATTGCACAGTGCCGGCTGCTCAAGTGACGGTCTCAGTACACTTTCGGCTCTCCGATCTAAGAGGCTCCCCGTCTCGCTCTACTCATCGTTTCTCCATAGCGAAGCATCGCTCGGTGACAAAGGTACCGATCGGCGGATCAGCTCTTTTCGGATGATCGCGAAGGTTGATTGCGCACTCGAGCGAGATCGCTGTGAGTTGTTGATTTTCTCGGGTCTGGACAAGACTGTCACCGATAGAACAGTGAGCTGAGAGAAGCTTAAACTTCACAGAAGAAACAAATGTGGAATATCGCAGGCGCTTGTGACTCGACGACTGGGTGACAAAAGTGCCGACATGTCATTTACCAGTGCATATTCGATTATCCGAATCGCGTGTTTGGGCTCCCATGTATATTCTCACGCGTCCGTGTTGGAAAACCCATCGACCAGAACGCGCATTGCAAGTCTAAGAAAACCACCAGAAAACAGAGTGCGAAGTGCGATGGCTTTGTCGGTGGTGGAGAATCGTTCGAAGAATGTTTGCGCTCGATGTTGGTGAAAGCATGTGAACGACTATTCCAGATCCTCGTCTCTTTCAACTTGCATCTGCACAGGTACCTCCGTAGACTCGCGAACTGAAATCACGCTCCAAGAAATCTGGATCCACAGCCTTCACACAGAACGTGCAACTTGAACCGTAGGAAGAACTAGAGAATCCCTCTGTTTCTACCTGCTGTAGTTAACATCTGTTCCCGTCGGAATAAATAAGTCGCCCTGCCCTGCCGACAATGAGATTGTACCCCTCGTCGATTCTAGAAGCTAACTCCATCCAGGAAGTGCGCACTGTTCCTTCCTAAAAGTGAAGCCGCCCAAAGTGCTATGTTTGTAAAATGTTCCTTCTCTGTCAACAGAAGTTGGGTGACTGCTTGGCGAAATTGGCAATCGAAGAATTAAAAAGGTCCATATGGAACATTTTCTTCTTTCTAGCCAGAGTTCTCCAAGCCATTTGATATTTGCAGCTTCCAAGCACCTGACTCTGGTCCGGGCTAATTAGTTGAAGCATAAAAAAGTCGTGGGCTTAGGGGAGGTTGAGATTTTTTTCCCAAACCACCAGCTTATTACACATACTCCGTTTCGTAGCACATAGCTCGAAACGCGATTCAAGCTTTTTCGTGCCAGATCAAGCAAACGTCCTCGTGGCCTATTGCTGATACCTACGGGTCAGACCAGCAGTAGGAGGGAGCGAGGGTGCCCAGCCGCGTGGACCAATGGTCTTCATTCGTTTCATGTAAAATGAATCTGAGAGATGTTTTCAGTTGCCAGGCACTGAGATTGTACGAACGGAACATCTTCTTCCCATTTGGAGACACTGTCGGTCTCGCGTGGAGGTAGCGCAACGCTTGGAGATCAGGTTGCGAAACGTGGCAGGTGCTTGAAGCATGGTGAACTTTAGATACCAGGAAGAGTACCGTCCAGTATCTTTCTACCGATCCGTAGCAGATTTGGCGTCTTGGAGGTTGTCTACATCAAGATGTCCCGGCTGAAATTGTCTGGACCGTTTGACTCAGTCATCTTGAAGGAGGTTTCTCGAAGGTTTCGGATTTGTCCGCTTTCCGGCTTCCGGAAGGTGGAAACTGTAGTGACTCCAGGCACACGGTCAGAACGGGACGGCATAGAAAGCACTCATGTTCGATGCTTCCGCATAAGTACGAGAGTGTTGCTCATGTAGAGAGTTTTTTCTTCACAGTTTGATTGACGAAAAATCTTTCCCTACGGTAACGAAGTCATCTACCACACTGTCGGGGGTGATCCCCTATGTCAATAAACCTGAAATGATCGAAAGCCGACTTTTGTACTCATCGACTAATTAGGCAAAAGAGAGTGTCTGCCTAACGGTTGGAGGAAATGCTGACGAAAAATTTCAGCGAGTACACTCCCATGGAAATCAAAAGCGTTCACAACTCCCAATGTCAGTGTATCTAAACATCACATCCCCTGATTCGGTCTAGACACCTACTCTGTTTCACAGTGGAAATACTACGATGCTCTTCCGGGCGATCTGAAAGACAGCAAGAAAGCTCTGCAGTCCATCAGATGTGTGTTTCTTGGATCCTCAAACACACGCTGAGGCCATCATCCACTGCAAAAGAATGCAGAAGTTTGAACAAACATGCACTCCGCAAAGATCCATGCGAACTGAATCGACACAGAACATAGTGGTCATGCGTCCGTTATCCAACCCAGACGATCGGCGAAGTGGAAGCTCTCCCCAAAGCCCACGAACTTGTTTCTTATTTAACAGTCTAAGAGGTAGATGCAATATCGATTTACATACACCACACGGCAACTCACGGTGCCTATGATGTCGCAATGGGGCACGTATCTAGGACGCCCACATTCTACACAAAATTTACAGACTACGGTCTACTCCAAGAATTTCATCCATGAAAGTAGTCGATTATGACTAAACTGACATTGATGTCTACAAGCTTCTTGGAAATCTAAGACGCTTGCGGGGTGACGGAGTCTCGGGTTCAAAACCGAGCCGAAGAAAGCACATTGGATGTCTCACTTCTAGCATGGCCCTCCAGAATCAGGCAGTCCAAAGAGATGATGTAGGGCGCAAAGCCTTCGAGCAGGCACAACCTGCTCTTATCTTGCAGAGCACAGATTGCGACCATTTTTCTCCCGCTCGTCGCTGCTCAGTAGCTGTCGTCTTCGGTGATCGGTCTCCGGATGAAATACCTCAAGCAGTTGACGAGCACTTGTTCCAAGGATTTGCTCAACGCGGCGCCACCGTAGGAGACGAGAAATTTGTCCTTGGCGACCAATCCCTCGGTGTCGATCTCGGCAGATTCCACTTCGACACTGATGTCAGCCATGATCTTAATGATTTCGAGCAACAGACCGGGACGGTCAGCCGTCTCGACGGTCAGCATGCTCTGCTTGTCATTCACCTTTTTGCAATAAATGTGAGTGGCCACATCGACATCGAGCGTGGCTTTGGGGGGCGTGCTGCCGAAGAATGCACCCAGCGCCAACTGCTCGCTCGATTCCGGGTGGTACTTGAGCAAATTGTTCAGTATGGTGAGCCGAATGGCTTCCAACACCTCCGGGTTCTCGACCTTGCAACCATTGTCGAGGCGAGTGATGTAAAATTTGTTCTTCGCAAGATCTCCTTCGGTCGAAACCTTGGCTCGCACGACGTTCAACCCGAGATTCTTGAGCGCCTTGATGGTGTCCAGAAGCGCCCCGAGCCGATCCCCGAAACTGATCTCCACGACGGTGGAATCGGCCTGCGATTCCTGGTCGATGTGCACGACCGGAAGAGGCACGGCCGGGGCCTCCTTCTCCTTCTCGCTCTCGTCTTGAACCACCGAGGCCACTGCCGCCAGGCTGGCAGAGGCGCCCACTGCTCCTCCTCCTCCGTGGTGCTTGGCAGCCACCAGAGCAGCGCTGCTGCTGCTGCTGCAGCCGCTGCCGAATTGCAAAGCCGCAGGAACGGCCGGCCACACGGACCTCAAAGCTCGCCCATGCTCCTCCGCGGAAGAAACCACTCTCCGCTCTCTCCAAATCGACCCCGCCTCCTTCACGAGCCCACTCACTTTCAGCAGAGCAGTCGCCATCGCTCACCGGCGGGTCTCCTCCTCCTCCTCCTACACAGCAAATCTCTCCGCCTCCCGCTGATCAAAATCTCGCCCAAAATTCCACTCGCCGAGCAGCACAAATCTTGACCAGATTGCCGAGAATTCGCCCCTCCACGCCTCCTCTCGCTCGAACTCGCCCTCGCCCTCCTCCTCGACCTCGTCCTCTCGCGCTCCCCCGCCCAGCTGAGCTGCTGCTGCTGCTGCTGCTGCTCGTGCTCGTCGGCCCCGATGAGCGGAGTGACAAGTCCCGCCTCTTCTGCGTTGCGCTTCGCGTCGCCCGAATCTGCTCGAATATTCCGAGCTCGATCTCTCATATGCACGACGAGCAGGAGCAGCAGCAGCAGCAGCGGACGAGAGCGCGGGCCAACAAACGGCCCTGCTGCTACGTAGCCATAGCCACCCGCGGACGCGCCCGACAAGATTGGTGATGCCGGCCCTCTGGCCGTCCTCGTCCCACCGATCCACCCATCGACCCATCGGTCCACCCATCGATCCCTCCATCGATGGCTCCGGCCCTCGCCCCGTGGATTCCCCGTCGCCTCCGGTCCGTTGGCTCGGGTCGGCTCCCGTCGGGTCGGTGAGGGTTTGCTGCCGAGCCGAACGCCTCACTCCGGTCCGCTCCTCCGTCCCTTCCGTTCTGGCACATTCCTTTTTCCGCTCTTTACTGGCCCTAGCCCATGTTATCCATTTCTTTTCATCCACGTTCCATTTCTTATTATTATTAATCCTTTAACCCCGTCCTCGCGCGATATTTTCTCTTTATCTCCTCTTTAAGTTCTCTTCTTTTTTCAACGTCGCTCGATATTTCGTGGCACCTCCTCCTTCCGTCTTAAAGTATCTCGCGGGATTGATCCTACCACGCTGAACTTTCGGCCGCAATTTTCAATTTTAGGTCTGTTTTCGCGGCGTCGGTGCATGAACGCGCGGCGAATAAATATATAATAAATAAGTAAATACGCAGGTGCTTCCGAAAAGGCGGAGGGATGGGATTTGGCGCGACTACGTAACGAACTTCCAGTTTCCGTCCACTCTCGAGCATGACACTTGTGTGAGGACACGTGTCGCGCCGCCCACTGGATGGAAAGGTCAAGTTGCCGGGGACACGTGTTCCGCCGTCGGGTTGCAGTTGCCCCGAGGGTTAGATTGCCTCGCCCAACATGCTCATGATAAAGAGATGATGCAAGAGGGCTTTCGGTTAAACAGTTAAGTCCCGACGGACGGTCGCCGTGCGCCGCCCACTTGCTTCCAAATCTTTCCTCCAGACCACCCGAAGCGAAGCGAATTGCGATCGCGATTGCGACTCTTCTTCGAACGGAGATCCGACTATCATCCCCTTCTAGGGTCCTAAATTCCTAGTAGTTTCTGCTTGGGTTAAGACCACGACGTTGGGTTACGTCAGCGTCCCGGGCTAGGACGGCGACGCATCTGCTGTTAGATACCAGTTGGATCCAGATTGATTGGCAGAATCCTCGAGACCGGGGATCCGGATGAGGCTGGTATAGTCGTCGGTGTCACTGCTTTTCACCTGCTGATAATTAAAGCTCTCTTGGACTATGCCCGGTATAGCCTTGTGTCTAGTCAAGACGCGCCTGGGCGGTTTCGCTGCGGTATCATATCTTGGATCCGGGTATCTTTTCACAGACTTCTCATACCACGTGAATCTCTATAATCATCTTACTCTCCGCTCCGCCATCATATCTACTAGAAATGGTGATGGTGGAATTTACCGTTAACATTCACCTTTGCAATAACCCAAACCTAACTGATATTGTTGGGCATTTATTGAATGATTGATTCGATTCAAGCTTATAGAGTGAGATTATGAGAATTGAAGCATGAAGATCATTTTACATGCATCTATTAAAAAGTTTCATAGCATAAACTGTCTAGAGTATGTGATTGGAACAAAACACGTGGATATTCTTAACGAGGATCAAATGGCATATGCAGATGAAGTCGATGGTGAGTTTTTTGTCCCCAGTAACTGGAAATTTTCATATTTTTTAATTTATTTGTATTAACTTGCAAAAAAGACAAAGATTCATGATACATTTATTTATAAATAATCAAACACAATATTAAAAAATTTCTGAAATAAAACATTTGTTTGATCTAATGCATCGAAGTTAGATACTCGAAAAAAGAGGATGCTTATTGTTCTCTCCAAGAATTAAACTCTGAATATGCAACTGTAGTTTTCATTGCGGCAAAACAGTATGAATTTATCTATACTACTCATGAAAACTGTCAATTATTTTAAATAATCAAATTCTTATAATTTTGAAGTATATGAATGAACTCTTTTTTAGTTTTTTAAATATTTATATTCAAAATTATCAGCTAAATTTTATATAAATTATTTTATAATTATATTTAATACTAGTTTTAATAATCATGAACGATGCCATGTATTTTGCTATACATATAGGCCAAAACCATTCAGTTTATAATCTTTATATGCATGAGTTACAAACGTAATCCATGAACTTCTTTCTTTTGTTTATGAATTATAATTTTGTTTAGTCTATTGTGCCAATAGCCTAAACAAGGCTGATTTAATCGTCTATTTTTACACGAAGCTTTGGATTATTAGTTGCCGATCCGGAGGTTCGTCTAGGAAGATTTTCAAAAATTTACAAGTCTTTCCTCTAGGAATTGAATAAGACATAAATGTCTTACTCAAATCCATGCCTAAAGAATATTTTCCGTTCAAAAGTGCAGTGAATATGGGATTTGATAGATCATCTTCAAATATACTGAATATCATTATCGATTCAAACTCATGTTCCTCATTATGAAAAATTCCTTAAGTGTAGCGAGAGTAGGAGAACATTTATTCACATAAGTCAAGTTGCAGAATCGTGGAGTCGTTCACGTACTTGAGTGCGCCGTACCACAGCACAACCCGTTTACAATCTACAGTTTTCCTTCCCTCAGTTTCTCTTTTCCCTTTTCCCTCGCAGGACCTGCAAACATATGCGAGGGCTTTTCACACTACGGTGCGAAATGAGGAGTTAGGAAAAGAGCATTTATACACCAAGGATGGTCTTTCTAGCTAAGCGACTTTTGCTCCCTTTTGTGGGTGGGGTAGCAACAGTTAAAATTCCAATATTAGTGCAGCAAAAGATCGATGTACTCCATGCCCCAATTGAACATTCAACAGCAGTTATTGCTGTTGAACCTTCCTCCGCTGGATCTCCAGGTTCAGTAGGACATCGATGTGGACAATGGAAAGGTGTTACTGTACCGATCTCATTATTTTAGCATTTTGCCTCTTAATCTCATTTTCTTCACTTCAAAATCGCTGAATCAGTTTTCACAGGAATTAATGCATCTTTCCGTTATGTCAAGTTTCCAGAGAAACATCACAGTACAGTTCTTTGTATTCTACTTGAAGTTTCGTTGGTTCCACACTTCAGAATTTTCCTTTCTTCAATTGCACATCATGAGCACGCTTTTTCTTCCCTTCATCTTTTACTGGAATAATTGTAAATTCACGCTTCCGCTTCGTGCACAACTGCTCCCGCTCATGCTTCTCACAGAATCTCGCTACTTGACTTTTATAATATCGGATTCAATTGTAAATGAAAAGAATACTGTTTAAATAGGTTCTATGAACAGTGCATTTCAAGACAAAATAAAATCTGAAGTGGCCACTCCATTGTTAATCATCATTTCGGCCCTGGGCATTCTCATTTTTAATAGGTTCTATGACGATGCATTTCAGGACAAAAGAAAATCTAAACTAGCCACTCCTTTGTTAATCATCATTTCGGCACTGGGCAGGCTTGAGTCCGCATGCTTGATCTTACGACTGTACTCAGATCCGGATGATGTCATGTCAGCACGCCCCTTTTACCCTGCACGGCGTCAGACATCAGTCCAGAGAATTCTCTCGAGGACAAAATCGGCATGCGGTCTTGTAGGGCCCTCGTGGGTGGCTGGCTACAAACGCCGATAAGTGCCTTTTCAGAGAGACCATTTCTGAAAGGTCGCAAGCGGCTCTCGGAAAGCCGAAAGTTAAAACTTTATGCCCGCTCCAAACAAGGTTCTACAGCTTACAGAACCTTGTTTGGAGAACAGAACAGTTCTGTAAGTACCAGCCGTGTCATTAAAACCTAGCGCTTTAAAGTTATAATTGTTGACCAGTTTAGAAGCGTGGAGTTTCGGTGCGTAACCGTAGAAAATCGTGGGCTGAGGTTGTCGTCGTTCGCAAAGGAAATTCCTGAGAAACTTGATCCATTGAGTTTCAGTTCCAAAACAGGCTCGTAAGAAGCTGTTGCTAAATTCTTCCATTCATGCAACACATGAAAACTATCAATCAGTCCATCTTGACTACACCTGTTTCGAAAGATGCGCTAATGATGTCACTCTACCCGAGGTCTTCAATTGAAACTCTGCCGTCGGCAGTGTAACTAAGGAACAATATGTTCACTTCAAGTTTAACATAGACAAACACCTTGGACACAACGTCCACGTTAAAAGGCGTGGAAAGTTGCAGGAACAATCGATGATCAAACGTCCACAACGACTCAGACATGTTGTACAATTGAATCTCCTCTACTGGCTACCACGTACCTCGCATACTAACGCCGTATATAGTTCGTATCATATATGGAAATAGCTTCCACTTAGGTAAAGAGCTGCTTGGTTGACATCAGATCTTACCTAGCACGAAATAATTTGGTCCTTGAGCGAACCACACTACACTACTCCCTCATTTTACACTAGTAGTTGTTTTCTACAAATCCAGATTCTCGTCCTCCTATTGAGAAGGCAAATCCAAAGATCAGGTGATACGGCATTATCAATTCAGTCAACAAATTTTTTTCCTTTTTTACACTTGGTGACTATTTTCTTAAGACACACGCAGACATCCTTCTCCCTCACATCCTCACAGTAGGAGAGCTGCCACTCGAACCTCATGACAGCTGCACACGAAAAATGAGGGTTTCAGGGGAAAGATGATCATGAGCATGGCCAGACCTCATCACGACTTTACCACTCCGCAAGGCAACTTCGTTGCCTACTTGACTTTCCCCGAGCTTGAGACCTAAACTGGAATGAAACGTAACAAAAATCCTCCAGTTTGATTTGCTCAAGTAACACATCAGATGCAAAACTTCGTCCTCCCTCCGACAGACAAACCAGGAGAAAAACCACGACGCCGGCATTTGTGACATCTTATCAGCCTTCCTCCCAATCAACATCATCGTCGTCATCAAATTCACCACCGGGATCGGGAGCTGGATCAGGATCGCCAACATTGCTGAACTGAGAGTCCTGTGAAGCCACAACAGGTTCGACAGGTTCTGCATATCAACAGAAAACTTGAGTTAGCCAACTTTGAAGGAGAGCCAAGACAGCCTACAAATGAAGCAGCCTTGAATCCTGAATAAAAGAACACAATAATGTGTTGTCAGCCATTAACTACGCAGCAGTACATGACAACCTCAATGACATTCCGACCAAGCAAATAGACATACATACTTGCCCTGAAACTTTGAAAAAAGCATAAAGAGGGAGAGATGGTAGGTCGGATGCCACAAAAGTCTAACTCGGAATCAGAACAATGTAGCCAGAAGCTCATAAAATTTTCTATCAAGCTGATGCCAAATGTAGTAACCAAAACACATCTTTCAGTCTCGTACCTGCCGCTGCAGCATGTTCCCATTCGACGTCTTCATCCTCCTCTGCTTCACCCTCGTCACCATCTTCCCTCTTGGCCTTCATTCCCACTTGCCTCTCTCCAGTTTCTTCAACACCATCAGCAGCTTCTGCCCCAGTTTCCACCGGCTCTGGCTGTGCAGTTGGCTGCTCGGCTCCTTGTTGTCGAGCCAAGAGCGCGGCGTAGTATGCTTTCAGGTATTCCTCCTGAATCTTGCGCGCTTGCTCTTCCTTATCTTCTTCAGCAGGTTTTACGTCCTTTGTATCAGGCCCCGCAAGTGATGCTCCATCTTCAGTCTTCACCTCAGACTTTGCTTCTCCTCTCTGAGAGGCCGTAAGTGTCATGCCCTGCCTGATCATCCATGGAGGTAGCACCTTGAGCTGAGCTGCTTCTTCTTTACCTTCATCTTTCTTAGTGTCACCGCCGGCCAGTGCCACTTCTACCTGCAGATTGCAAAACAGCCAGTAAGTTTTCTACCCGTGTCTGCAGAAATTGCCTCCATATGACCCGACAACCAAAAATAATACACGAAAACTTGGTCTGAGAAAAGAAAACAAAAGAATTAGAAATAAACTCAGGCTCCAATGCTCACCTTCGTTTCTCCCAGGAAAGGCATGGGAGTTCCAGACGGGCCTTGTCCATGTGACGGCTTGGGCAAGTCACTAGTGGATGCATCGTTGCCAGGTATTCTTCCCGCGGCGATTGCTCTCTTTTCCCACGCCTCCAAGCTACCAAAATCAGGAGGAGCCAAATCTTTCACTCGAGTCAACTGATCCTGCAGAGGCTTCAATTGTTTCTGTCCATCCCCAAGATGACTCGTTCAGAAACATTATACATACTGGAACAGATCCACCTGCTTTTACACGGGTTTTTTGGAAAAAAATGTGAGATACTGGGACGCTAATTACCCATGTAGTAGCTCTCACCGAGAGCTACAGACCACATCCGTCTTCAAGATATCAGCACGTTTATTCACAACCTACCTCCAATTTCTCATAAAGCTCCTTGAGCTTCTCTCTTCTCCGCCGCCGAGCATTTTCTTCTCCATCTCCATCACCAAGTTCCGCCGCTGCCAGCTTGTCGCTTTCAGCCACGAGCTCCCCATCACAGAGTTCACAATGAAAGTTCCCGTCGAAGACATTGATCAACCTCAAAGCGTCCAGTGCGGAGTAGCTACATGCCCACAACCATTACAGTCTAACGTCTGAGCTGATTACGGCAAATATTACAAGTACCGTCATTCAGTAAAGATATTAACTTGCTTCGCTCCGTAGGCAGCGACTGACAGCTTAACAAAACATACAATCTGTACTGTTGAGAAAAATAGGAGGAGGCGCTCACCGACGTCCACAAGAAGCAGCCGGACATATGTACTCCTGTACTGTATTCCTGTCTTCCAACTCATCTTTGATCTTTTTTTTAGAGCGATGTATTCGATAACGAACGATATCAAACACCTGCTAGACTTTCAACACGGTGTTATCGCATGTACTTGACGCTAATAAGAATTCAAGTTGACCTAGACCCCATCTGACTACAATGACCCGTAGAGCTAATAAACATCACCATCATAGATTGTCAATAAAAACCCTTTTGGAAAAACATCTAGGGAACGAAAACCCTAACAGTGCTCTTCGCTTGAGCTCCGAAAGTCCTAACAGAGTAAGCTTGTGGCGCCTGAGACAGTCGACTGACTCAGAACAATATGGCAAATTTGCTGCTCGAGTTGAGTTTGAGCTCTATCGTGTTAAGGTTCGGAACAGAATAAAATCAAGGAATTCTTCACCTGAGCATAGTCTAAGCAGCAGTACGAATGAGTGTGAACTTTCGGCTTCTCTTCACCCTCTCGCTCGCTTGGTTGTTCACTAACAGCAGCTATAGCGGCATTGTACACTTTCGCACCTTTCACAGTCTACACAGATACAAATTTTCATAAATGACTCAGAGGTTTGTTGGTAGAAACACCCCGCGAAACAACCCATGATCAATTGACTGAAAGGGGTGTTCTCCCAAGATTAAGTGCTACATCTTTTAATGTCTTCTAATTGTAAGAGCAGATATGCAAAAATCCAAATCGTCGGAATATCCATTCACAACTGCATGATCCCTACCAAAACGAATCACAGTTCGACAATCACCTCACGACGGTGTTCCCTTAAAATCAAGAGCTCTTCTTCTAAGACTCTCAAGGTCCGCCGTAATTGTTTGGGATGTAATCGTAAGTCCCTCGCCAAATCCTCCTCTTTCACCCACTGTCTCCTCGTCAGAGCGTCGAGGATAACGACAGCAATTCCCCTATTATCCGACTTGTCCGACTTGCTACGGTTAGCTCCCTTAGGCGGAATTTCCTCATCGTAGAAAGCTCTAGCGACAAGCTTCACTAGTCTGCGCAGAGACAATAAAAACCAGTGTCATTCTAAATGACCCGAGACCTAAATCCTAATCACTTCGTCGCACGACACGATGACATAATAGTTTTATCCCAATACACATTGCAATGCTCCTTTCTTTGCTCCTACTCCAGTAGGGACGTCAAAGTGTGTGCGGATCTCATGAGTTTCAAATCGAGCACTTCCTTCGGGAGAGCTATTGTGATTCGTGCTCTTTTTTTTTTCTTCCGCCCTACTTCGGTGCCTGCTGCTTGCCCCTTCTGCCATAGGTGGCTCCATGCCACCGTAAAGTGGGGGCTCGACAGGACGCGCACTCAGGCGGGGCAGGGATCCAGGGTAAGGTTTCAATTTATTCGTTCAATTCCTTCAACATTGTTCCTTAATCGATATTCATTCAGATTCATCAACAAGTAGGAGGACGATCGATCCTGGCAACCAGCAGAAACGCACCGTCGAAAGGGTTCAATACTCATGTTGCCCTAGTCCAGGCGCTACTCTTGCCACAACCGCATCAGACCACGAACCATCCCAAACCCCAAGAATTGCTACGAGAATGACACCGATCTGCGTCAGAGGGTGCGCCTCATCCCGATCGACCGCGGCCGATGCACTGCCGAAGAGCAACCCAAATCATCAGCTCGATCCATGTCCCACGACGACAGAAGATGTCGTGGGCCGGGCGTCTGGAAGGAGCCAGCCGTCGTCGAAGACGCCATCGGTCGGGGCCGGGAGACTGACCGGCCTGGGCTGGCCTGGACCGGAAGGGCCGGGACTGCAGTCACTCACCGCTGGAATGGCGACAGAGAGCGACAAGCGTCCAGTCCCCAATGAGCAACACCACATCAATCGCGTGGTCGGGAACCCGGACCACAAGAATCGCAGTCCAGATCTCCACATCCAGCGGTTCGGCAACAAATCATTATCATACTTATTATTATCTCTAATCGGTGAATTGTTTCGGTGGAGAATTATTCTCTTTCAAAGAAATAAAACATATTCGTACTTATTATTATCGCACAGGTTTCGGTGGAGACTGATTTATAGATTGTTTTACTTTTTTATCGCAATTAGTATGAATGGTTGCCGTGAAGACGGCGGAGTGCTTACCTGTATTTACATTGATTTCAAAAGAAATGTTTTTTTGGGAATTAACTCACAAGTGGTTGGTAGAGAACAAGTCCCATTATTACGAGAACTTTGATATCACAAGTATATATATATATATATATATATATATATAAGGATCATTTAACACAATTGTATGAACACGATACCAAGGTAAACCTTTAGAAATACCCCTTTCTTATAGAGAATTAGACACTCTATAGTCTACGGAGTACAAGTCATCTACTGCACATGGTATCATTCATGTATATAGACGTATATATATAAAATAAATTGAAATTTCATAGACAGGACAATAACATACGTTCATGAACTTTCCTCGTCGGCTAGACTGATAAATGGGTGTGATGGCGTGGACATGGACTTCCAGAGGTTTATTTATACCTTCGCGCGAGCTGATTTTCTCTCCTCTACTCATCAGCGATCTTCATATACACGTATTGCTATGAGTGGAAATCCGACATAAAAAGATGATAAAATTCCAAGATTTGACCATAAACTCCTTCCAAAGTTTCACATATATTGTTTTTCACTATCCTGTTGTGCTTTCAGAATAAAAAAATTTCTTCTATATCTTTCAAACCAATTGTATACTAATTTACGTGTATTTATTTATGTGTTTCAGGTCATCATATATCACAATCCGACACTCCGGTTGGTCTCAATTTTTATGAAACGAATTTACATCTTAGCTTCCTCCCTTAGACAAAAATATTGATTAGAACATTTCACTGCAATTGTCATAAACATGATGCTAAATCATACAATGTGGTGTAATCATGAAACTTTGCCAACGTATGTAAATTTTAAGCTATCGCTCTCTTTCCAAATCTCTACCAATTGTCTTGGAATCTGTCATACACCAGTTTGACTTATCAACTTCTCTATGTTCATAGTTTCTCAAGGTGCATAGCTTGTCATTGACATTGACTTGACATCATTGTCAGTTTTGACATTGACTTGTCAATGTCAAAAAAAATAAATCAAATAGTATTTAAAAAGTTAGTAATAAGATAGATTTTTTTTAATTCCTTCAACTATACCATGAAGCTAATCTACCCAACAAACTTCCTAAATATAACATCATACAGACCTCAACATGTGTTGAAAACAAGCATGTCAATCAAACCTGAGCCAAATGTTTCCCTTATGATGTTGTTGCATTTTACAATCCTCTCCATCTTTCTCTTTCCTATGTGTATGTGATGCATATATTTTGTAAGACCGGCGTTACAATTGATAAACAACCTCCAAAACCAACTTTTCTAACCAGCTTTTGTTCTACATCTTTTTCTCCACGTTACATTCACTATCACCTTGGAGTTCAAACCAACAACCAAATGCCTACACTTACTTCCTTACTTTCTCTCTTTCCATGTACAAGAGTGATAATAAGAGTGAAACATAAATGTATATATGTGTATTTTGACTATCATTTGAATGAATACGAAGTTTTCGCAAGATTGATATTGTATTTAATATTATTATTGTTATAAAAATATATAAGGATTCATTTTAATAAAAAATACAACCTTTTATATGATACAAATATTAAAATTGAAATCAATATTATATTTTTTAGATTAAATTTGAATATTATTTTTAATTTGAAATTGAATTTTTTTGATTTTTTATATTATATTCTTGCCAACATCATGTTACTAGATAAAAAAAATTAGATAAATAATGATATTTAAATATTTTCGGCTTATCTAAATAAAAATATAAAAATGTGTTTTAAAATGTTGTTCCTGAATTAATGAGAAATAATTTTATTTGATTAGCATCAACAATTTAACCTATTCATGTAATTTTAAAACTTAAATTAATTATAATATTTTCCATTCTTAAATAAAATAAAATGTTTTAACACGTGTTTACATATCCCGTCATTACTTTCATTGGCATTCATGTAATATATATGTAAGATTAAAATCATCAATGAATCATTAAGTGTATTTTAAATTATAAATCATCAAGAAATTTAGCTGAATTTTTATGATGAGAAATTTTACTTTTTATGATATTTTTAAACAAATTTAAGAGAAATTTCTATATAAAATGTCTAAATATAATATATTGAATATATACAAAAATTTATCATTAATATATTAAATCATTAGAAAACAAGCTAGAATTATAGAGATTATTTTAATCTTGTATCATAATGAATCAATAGTTTAATAGATTCGAATCAAATTCGAATTTTAAATTTTTAAATTCGAATCTTTGAATCAATAGTTTGAATCATAATGAATCAATAGTTTGATAGATGTCTTTAGATATGATATGATATGATATGATATGATATAAATTTATACTCCAATTAACCACGATTTTTGTTATTATTTGTATATATTTGTCACATAAATTATGTTGATAAATTGTTGAGTTTTGTAAATTTTTTAATTGAAAAGCCATGTGCACAAAAAAATTTGAAATTATTATATATTTTATATTTCATCTTATGAGTGCAAAATTTGAAGGAGCATATTACAATTTATTTTTTCAAAATACGATAAAATTATACATTCTGTTTTATTTGTTGTGAAGTATTTTTTGAATATTATTAAAAAAATACATTATAATTATAACATGTAAAGTTAGACAATTTTGGAATGAATATTTAGTTGTTAATATTTTGGTTATTATAGTAATCCATAAAGCTTTTTATGTTATGAATTATTTCCAGTTTTTCTTAATTCTTCTTAGTTCAATCATGGTGTGTTAAAGGGGTTGGCTAACTCAATATATAACAGGATTGACAGACATCTTTATACAAGATTTGATTCTGAACAAAAGTTGTTGTGTTTTATGAACGTTATCTCATTGAGATTACTTATATATTGTTTGAATTGAATAACTATTAGAATCTATGTTTTTGCATTTTTTCCCATCCTTGAATCAGATCTTCAACATAATGATTCTGAAATTGAACATGTCAATTCCAACAAATTATGTAGTATCTTCACCTTTCACATAAAATCAGAATCACTATCTTAAACAAGAAGAATGATAACTTGTTACATTATCATTCTTCTTGTATAAGATCACAAATCACAAAACATATTTTCTAATTACAGAATTTAAAAACTTAATTTTCAAGTTTGAGTTTGTTGCATTTGATATGATATCATATTTCAAGTTGTCTATGTTAATTAATTAAATACATATGGTTGTATGTTTAAAATCTGTTATTTACATTGTTATTATAAATGAAAAAAAAGTGCATTGTAGTCAACCTAAATGATGTCGAATTATGAGCCTAATCGGAGTGGGATAGTTAAAATTCATGTTATGTTTGTTATAGTTGTGTTTGATTGTGATATATTTTTTTTGAATTACAAAATCAACTTGGATCTATAACTTAATATATGAAAATCATAATTTTACAACATTTTAACAAGCGTTGACTGTAATACGTCTGTACTAAAAAGAATCACCATGTAGTACGCTCAACGTAATATGTGTTTTTTCTACCATGCATACGCGACTATCATTTGATGATAAAGTAAGAAATTACAGCAATCGTTTTTTATTCATAAAATAAGTTGTTCAGCTCAAGCGAAAAACTGGTGGGCAATTATTTTCGGATTACTTATCTACATCAAGTTTTCGACTTGTGAGTATTTTGGTGCACTTTCCAGAATAAAACAGATTCAATATTTGAGCAAATTCATTTCTTTCACATAATCTCGCTCGCAAATCCCATTCAATGCAATAAATTTCCCGTGCCCCATGAAAAAACAAACAAACGCCATGAGAAGAAAGTCGTCGACGCTGACCGCGAGAAAGAAAGCGAGGCCGTCAGAGCCTGGTGATAAATCCCAGGGCAACGAGCACAACGGAATCAATGGGGCAGCAGCAGCAGCTGCAGCAGTAAAGGAGGGGAAGGGCATGTGCTCAGGACGAAGCGGGAGCATTCTGACAGCTCGCCATCATCTTTGGGCTCGGGAAATCGAGATGGTGGTCCACTTGTAAAAGTTGATTCGGGCACACGAAAGCGCACAGCCTCAGGTGGAATCCGTGGAATGTTGCTCCGGGTCAGGTCGGATCCATTGGTTCGCTCGGTCGTGCTTCCGGGCCCGGAGACATTGGACTCGGTCGTTGTGGATACGCCAGAGCAGCGGTGGTGCACGACCAGATTCTCGTATGGCAAACCGGATTCTCATCCGGCAAATGTTTGGCTGTTGAGGTGATCGTGTGCCTGTGTGTTAGAAGCCTGTAGCGGCGTTTCTTGGCGACTCGGAAGACTGAGGTCGAAGGGGGATCGAATCTGAGGGTTTTGAAGGCTTGGAGAATTCAGGGTTGAAGATATACAGTTGTGGATGACTGTAGACTCATTTGAACAGCCCACAACTGCGCGTGCGTGGCAGGCGTCTTAGACAATCAGAGCAGCTCTGAATAACTCGAGGAGTTGGGATTCAGATTCGAATTCGATTCGCGAAGTTATCGTTTCAGGTTTCCCTGGATTTTATGTAATTATTTCGCTCTCTGCTGTAGACTCGGTTACACATTTCTTGCGGTTGGTGCAGAAATTCCCAAGAATTTAGGATCGTTTTCGACCACGCCTCTGAATGCCCTCAGAATTGCGGGGTTGAAGGGGGTGGTGAGACTTTTGACTCTTTTGAGGGAAGTCTTCAAGCATTTTTCCCTGGGAGAAGGCAGCGGATGCGCCACCGAGTCGGGCGCTCAGAGCGTCTTCCTAACACATTGCGAGTTTCGAATTGAGGACGAATCGGATTCAAGACCAGGAAACTTTTGGAACGGGAAAATAGCCTCTACAGAATAGAAGGCCGAAATGCAGATTTCCGGTTTAGGCCAGGTGGGGATGGCTACCAGGGTACCCTGTTTGCAGGTTGTCCGGCCTGTGTCCTCTCAAAATGCCAGTCAATATTCAGGCTCCTTTGCAGGAGCAGCCACAGGTAGGCATCCGTATTCACGTAAAATAAGAGTTGTTTGTTCTGCAACTGAGGACTATTCACCAGCGAAGCAAAAATTTGATCTGCCACTCTCCCCGGAGGAAACATCGAGAGGATCAGACGATTTCACAGAGACGAACTCTTCTACCGGTAAATTCGATCAGGAAAAGATGGGCACAGTTTCTGAGGTTTTTCAGGGAGCAGTGAAAGCCGTGAAGGATGCACCTGCAATTACTGTGGCCCAAATGCTTCTCTTTGGTGGAGTTGCAACTTTTGGTTTGATTGTCTCCGGCTCCATGATGGAATCGGTGGCACTTCTCCCTTTTGCACCAGAGGCTCTTCAAACTGTTGGTGTAGCTTACTCCGTTCTTCTTGCCAGGTAACGATAACCCATATGCCAGTCTTGAAGTCTTCGTGTGGTTACTCCGCTTACCTTTGGCGTTTGTTTGATTGATGTAAATCAAACGTGTCATCCTTTGATGGATGAATATGCCCGATAAGTTTGAATTTGGCCTCGTCATGCATTGCTATGATCACTGTAGATATTATAGTTTATAAAAAAAGATGCTGTCATGGGAAAAAAATTTACAATGCGGCTTGCTTGGCGTGGATGCGTGCTTGTAAACTTGAAAGCATGTGAAAAGTCTATGCATGAAAAGTATGCTTGATGTCATACGTAGGAAAAATTCCCAGTCTATCAAAGCCAGAATTGTATTTTTTCATTTTGCAAGAAACAGTTGTCAAGATTCATACATGATTCAATGCATGTACGTATCTATGAAACATAGGAGATTTCTGTAACCCTCCAACGTCAAGTTAATATTCAGTTTATTTTAGTCGATATTCATTCTCTGGGTTTTACATACCAATTCTGTACTGGATCTTCTAGAATTGGAGGATAGCGTTTTTTTCCAAGGCAATTCATTTAATCTCATGTTAACCCCACGTCTCCCGTGTTGGTTATTCGATCCATGTCATACTATTCCTGGTAACCAATCTGGGTACGAAAACATTTCATGTTCTACGTCATCATCATGTTTATATGCACATATCACAGTATAGGTCAGTTTCCCGATATGCTCATACTGTTTCTCTCGAAGGGACCTTGAGACGCTCAACGTTACCTCAGCACTAACCACCATCGTTGAAGACAGTGAATTTTTTTAACCTGGATGTTGTGTGAAATTTCTTTCATCATGTATCGTTTCTATCAGATGCTTGAAATATGAGAACGGTGATGTATTGTCTAGAGCAGTTATCGGTCGTTTTGGAAGATAGTTTGTATTAGTTCGCCTACATCTTATCTCGGAAGAGGGAGGTGAGCTCACATTGTAGCCAAATCTCCAGGGCAGATTTATAGTGTTTCGAGGGTGGCTATCAAGACAATGCATGGTTTGATGGTATAGAAAGTGGACCATGGTATTAACGGCATACATCACCAGTGGTTGCATTTTCAAAGTAGGAATGATTAATCACGTTATTGAAAGGTGATCTGCTTGTGAAATGCAGTCAGGTGCTTCAGGGGAGATCCGTCAGTTTCCCTCCTCCATCTCCCTTTAAAGCCGTAATTCAGCTTGTAGATAATGGACAGACTCCAACCCCAACGTCGGGCCAGGAACAGTCACAGGTTCGCCAACAACAAGATCGCCTCTTAAGTTTTCAGCGGATGGAGCCTGCCATCTCTTTCAGTTCCCTTGATGCGTTCTCACTTGTATTTGGGTAAATGCTCCGAGTATCTAGTTACCTAGCGCGTGAGGTTGAAAATATTTGACAGATAGTCTCCTATCTCCAGGATGCCCTCGCCATGCAGAAGCTAGTCAAGGAGCGAGATGCTGCTGTCAGCCAGGTTGGTTTCTCCCCTCTGCACTAGATGTCCTGGCTTCCTTTGACTCATGCTGGAGCTGCTCACCCTGTTGCATGTTGATCTCAGATGGGGATTTGGCTCTTAATAAGCCTATGTTGATAATGTTGTTTTTTGCCATGGCTCTTTTTGTTTTATCATTTCGGTATATTTCGATATGTAGGCATTTTTTTTCTCGTAACGTTGTTGTCATAATATACTGAGCACATCCGAACAGACCTTGTTTCCACGTCAAATATTATCAATTATAGCATATGTCTTTTGTATAATTTCTACATTTTACGTTACTTTCTCATGGTATTCCTCTGGCTCTACAGTTGTTCCAAATAGCAACTTTTACTCAAGTTAGTGGTCCCGTAGTATATGTTGACTTGTCTCCAGGCAAGATGTCTAAAATCTCTTACTTTTTAATTGGTAGGGATTGAAATTCAGGCGGTGATTTTGAACTGCTCCTAAATAACACCCTCCTCTTCTTCTAGCTAGCATAGTCAGACTTCCAAGTTGGGCACAGTGCATTTTCTCACAGCCACCAATTGGGAAATTGACTTTCCTGGCCTATGGTCAAACATATGGTTTCTAAGAACAAGTGATACCATGTTACACATACCCGTACTTTTTTACTGAATCTTTTCTTCTTATAATTGGTTCTTTTTCTGTCAGGCACTATGTGAAGATAATGTATTATGCTTCTAGTTTAACTTCGATGGAAAACTATCGTCTTCATATAAAGCGGACTTTGAACTCAGACTAGGTCATGACCCTGAGCATATGCTGATGACTTTAGGTAAATCTATTCCAGCCATTATACTTGGGAGCTTTAGATATTTCAGATGATGAAATACATATGGGTAAAGCTGAAGTAGAGCTATTCCTCACACTTTACTGCTTCTCCTTATACTAGCTCTGATCTTGAGAGCAATCTTTTTCTAAACATCACTCCGTTTTGTCAGTGAATGTCGTCTTTATTTTGAAGTAGCGGATATTTTTTTGTCTAACTAGTGTAGCTTTCAAATTGTCTTGTTGTGTTTGGAAGATGGAGGAGATGAGGAAAACTGCAGTCAGTTATGCACGTGTTGTGTCAGAAAAGGAAGCTCTAGAGGCTGTGTCATTGCAACTCGCTGATGAGCGCGATGGTGCTGTGTCCGAGGTAGAGCATTTGGTTTTTCGAACCCTGAGCTGCATTCGAATACAACTGTATAGAAACTAAGGCGATTGTCCTTTCAGTAGTAGTGGATGCAAGGAGATTCATTTTGGAAGTTCAGAATGAGTAGGTGATGGTCCGGCTACCTTAATTATATCCCAGTTGTTGAATTGTGCAGGTTTCAGCGCTGAAAGATGCGGTAATAGCAATGACCAATCGAATGAGGGCAATCGAAGAAATGTTAGACCAAGAGGTGTCGCTTCTTAAGAAACAAAATGAAGCTTTGGAAACGGTTGCTTTACAGCTAGCAGCCGAAAGAGATTCTGCTCTACAGGAGGTGGGGTCTCGTTTATCTTCAAATGCTATGCAGTGAAGGATCTGAGAGGTGTTCTCTCACATGTGATATGCGAGAGGTAGACGAAAGGGCATTGTGTGTATAATGAATCGTAGATGTGAATAAAGAGGAAACTACGAGTATAAGACATTGGATTCGGTTGACAAAAGTCCTCTCTACACACCACGGACTTTATTCAATCATCAGGTTCTCATCAGCTTTTAATAGAATAATGCTAAAAGGAATTATGCTGGTCGTCGAGGAAACCATGATGTAGGCACCTTGTGAAGGACACGCAGTAGTTGAGCAACTACTGACTTTTGACTCTGACAACTAAGTATAACTAATATTCACTAGTGCTTTCTCACGTGGGCTTCGTTCAAGGCTGCTTATATTATTATTCATTTTCACTGATCTTAATAACCATTATGTTCGCATTCCATTTTAGTCTATTAAGGTCAAATGATTGATTTGGGACTTGTAATGACATGTAAATTTAGGTGGAAGACTTGAAGCTTTCGTCTCTTCTTTACGAAGAACAACGAGAACAAATGGAATGTTTAGAAACAGTAGGAGTTCAGTTGGCTCAAGAGAGGGATACAGCTCTAGCCGAAATTGAGGAATTAAAGAAGGTATGGGCTCCTGCCGAACCCATTTCGAAGTTTGTATCGTTTATTTAGGTGGTTTTAGCGTTCTAGCTCAAAGTTAAGAATAAATGGGGACTTGCCGGTAAATATAACATCCAAACATTAATCGTGTTTTCTGATTTATTATCCTTATTCTTTTACCTTGAAGGTTGTTGCGAGCATTCGTGAGGCAGCATCCACAGCTTCCGGATTAACTACCGAGCAAGAGTTGTTTATTGAAGCGAGGGTTCGTGCATTACGTTCTCAGTTTATTGACGTTGATCGAGGCTACGATGAACAGGTGAGGGGCCTTTAAATTCTCATCTATATGTCAGCGAGCTAGTATGGAATCCGTTTGGGTACACGCGATCTAAGGTTTACGATTAAGTTTGAGGAATAAGTTCTGAATTCCATCTAGCAAGTTATGTCATTTTGTCTATTCAGTACGCCGGGTATTTGGTCTTGATCGCATGTTGAAATTTTGAGACTAGTCAACCTCATGATCTCGTTATCTGTCTTTCTGTTATCATAAGGTGTTATTGTAGATGGAATCTGAATCATTGAGATGCTCTGTCAATGCAGAAAGACGAAGTGGATAGATTCATCGGCCACCTGGTACAGGAATATGGGGCGCCACAAGAATGGACAAACGCCTACATCAGACAGTTTTTGGACACTTCTGCTACAAAGTCTAAACTTGGGGATGTCGCGGGTGACATAAATCGATTGGAAAGCTCTACTTCTCAGAGGAGTTTTCAATGAGAGCCGGCCTTTGACGATCGTTGTGACTCGGTGCTTCGTGTACGATATCAGTTTGAAATGCGTGAGAATGCATCATATATTATTGTTCTCCGCAGCGGGGCTTTCCTTACACCTCAGTCTAGGGGCGCCCTGTCCATTCATTGATATTCTCCTTGCAAGGGTGGCAGGAGAGACGGGAGACGCCGTGCACCTCACTGCCTCTTAATCTGTAGAGCTCCAGGTGCATGTTAGTAAGATCCCTTGGCTCTTCGTCTTCGTTTGTGGCAATCGCTCCTCATGTCCGTCTGTAATATTTTTGTACCAAAACGCAAGTGTCAATTGTAGAAGCCATGGTATCCTCGATAATACCAAGGTTTTGTTTATATTATCCTGCGAAGGATGCTTTTTCTGGGAACCTTGCATGAGACGACACAGTCATGAATTTCTGTGACCCACCATGAATTTCACTAGGAATGGTCTTCGACTGCATCCACCTTCACTTATGTATCTGTATGTGATCTGTATGACGTCCACCGTATTGTGCAACTGAAAATTCAGAAGTTGCATGGTTCAACTTCAAACTTACGGTCTTAACTGCAAATCTGTACCCCACTGGCCTGCAATTATTGGTGCGTTTCCGCAGATCCTTCAGCGATACAACTGCGAACAGGTGAAGCACGCGAAGACTTTGTAACCTGACCATGATCGTCACTTACAGAACCTGAGTTGTTTCACATTCGAATGGGTACGAGCTTCTATATCCCTTGCGTGCAAATGTAATATTCAGGTCACCCGGTGGTTTGATTGAGCCCAAATCTGTACGGCCGGGGGCGTGGGTTCGTAGATACCAGTTTCCATTACACCTGCCCGTCTGAAAAGTCCGAAAAGTGGATACCGTCGACAGAATCGAATATGCAACTACTCACGGTGCGGCTTTTTCGCCTCCTGGCCCACATAGGCCCACTTCGAAGTCCATCTCTGACTGTTTATTCCTTTTGACCAGTGCTTACGATTCAGAAGAAGCAAGCGATTGGCCGTGGCGCAATCTATGCGTCGTTTCAGGAGGATCAGAAAGTCAGCCAACAACGCTCTATCCGAAACGACTGATGCCGCGAATATGGGCGGCACACTTTTTCAGATGGCTCAGCGAACTACGTGAGCAATGACTCACCTGCACATTGGCAAGCGGCACGCCACCCGAGAGCTGGCAGAGCTTGATCTCCGAGAAAGCCTGGAAACACACAAACAGGCACTGCACTGCGTGGCCTGGTCGCTTCTGCAGTAAGCTAGTGATCTCATCCAGCAGGGAAGGGGAGGGAGGGGACCAGCTGAGGCATGCAGGCGAGAAAAGCATGCCTGGGACGACGACCATCTCATCACTTTCAGCTGTTGTTGAATCCCACAACCATCTGCTGAGATACAGTAACGTACCGCACTTTCTTCGAGCCAGGTCTCTGTCGTGTCTTACTTCGTGCCGCTTAAATGTCTAATGGAATGGATCAATTCGCTTCCTAGCATCGATATGGTGGAACTGAGTGTCGAGGTTTCCTCTTACTTGCTCAGCCTCGACCGGTCGTAGCAACAGTTGAGGTTGCCGCTCATCCCACCCTTCTTATCCCCCTTCTGACAACATCAACAATAACCATGGACTTAAAAGGAAGCAGATGATTTCGCCATATAAATAGAGTGAAGCAAAGCAAGATACATCCGTAATAAGTAGATGTACACAGCAGAGCAATTCGATTTGTCGAGACGAAAGACACCAAGAGCAGTGCTAGGATTGTGAAAACCGATGACCAGCACTTGCACAGAAAGATTTCGACGCGTAGCTTCAGAAAGGATATAAAGCAGTGGAAAAGTGGTGTGAGGAAACTTGTGGGGTCGACTGTCAAAGCGACGGTTTGGTATGATTTCGTGAAGAGTTGTTCCCTGTTGTCTGCAGAGCAACTGAAAGCACTTGACGTCGGTATCAGCCTAGATCCACAGAAAGTGATGACACCATCCTGCTTTGACGTTGAGAACCACCTTTAAACTCTGTGGAAGCACTTGTTTCCTACGTGTGATGGGTATGTCTTAAAACATAGTTTGATTATCATAACGTACAAGTTCGACACACTTCTTCCTAATAGTGGGTAATGTACATAAGTTTCCAATTTTATGTTTTACAGTTATGCAAGATTGGAAGGGAATGCACGAGGAGATCAGATTTCTTGGAGTTCAACTTTTAATTCCATAAGTATAACACATATGTTGTGCTTAACCAGATTTGCTTTGTGTTTTTATTTTATCGAGAGAGAGATATCTAATGAACCCTGACCCTATTCTTCTTTTTCTTTATCATGGACTGTGTAATACGGAAGGGTGATCCGATGTTTTTCATTCACACAGCTGTGTGAAATAGGATGAAAGGTAAGGATATGGATATGATAGATCAGTCGCTTTGTACTTCGTGCCACATTTTTGTTTTAGTGTAGCTACCAAATTGTACCTCATTTGTACTACGGATGTGCACAGGGACCTTTTGTAAAGTATATGGAATCAAAGTTCCATTCTCACACATATTTGTATTACTGTGCACAATGAATAAAACCTCCTTGGTATTTGGTAGATGTTTTAATTCATTACTTTCTGAAGATATTACTCCCTTCGTACATAGGCTTTATGGGATCGGAAGTCTCAGAGCCGAGTCATTAGGTAGCTCTGGGATATCATGTCAGGTGAATCTAAGGCATTCGAATGATAAAGGCTTGGAAAAATAATTCTATGTTGAATATATTACTGCTACGTATTTTGCTCGGATAGAGCCTTGCCTCGGCACAAACAAACACGTGAGAAAGACTGGCATTCACCGTTTGCTTAGGCCCTCTGCAAACACCGTCTGCCAGAGAAAACTGGTGAACGTGATTGTTATAAAATTGCTCCATTGGCCCAAGGTTCAGCTGTTGAAATATTTTTGCTGACTAGTTGAATCTATTTTTACGCTCGTTTGTGAACATGATTGGAGTCATTAATGGTAAACTCTTTGAAATATACACCTTGTTTTCTTATATAAAATCATTTAGCACAGAAGAGGTATTTTTTGCATTTTTAATTTTCTACATGTCCTTCCTATCCCTCTCTAGCTGTAACACTCATCACGGCTTTGACCTGATGCTACGAAGAGCAAAGTAGAAAGGAAAAAAAAACCATTATATTTCTGAACTCTACATTTGAAGATACAGAATTGCACAATCTTCATGTGGATCCACGAGGTATATTCTGTAGGGTGCAGGATGATGTCATGGTCCATCCCCTTCAAAAGAATACATCTTTGATGTGACTTATTGCATAGTAGTATCCTTAATGAAGCAGATCCCGAATCCGAATCTTAGTTGCAGGAAGAATGGAAGCCTGCGACAGCTCCTCTTGACAAATCACGAGTAGAGTAATTCTGCATTGACGATGCATCTACGCAGAAAAAACAAGAGTATCATATTTCCGAGGGTGTTATCAATCTCCACAAAGTTGTTAGAAAGTCCAATCTCCCCATTCTTCCTTATTCCAACGAAACGTGAAGAATAGTGCACTAAGCTTCTGCTTCTACCAACCTTGAAATCCACGTAAATTTTCTACTCCATAAGAAATCTATGAAGTTTTGGGGGGTTTCTCACATGCTCTGCATGAAGGAGAGGGAGTGAGTACCTGAAGGACTACAGTGGAGTAGAGCAGAACTAAGCTTCTACCAACCTTGAAATCCACGTAAATGTTCTACTCTATAAGAAATCTATGATTTTATTGGGGGTTTCTCACATGCTCAATCTGCATGAAAGAGAGGGAGTGAATACCTGAAGGACTACAGTGGAGTAGAACAGAACTAAGCTTCTACCAACCTTGAAATCCACGTAAATGTTCTACACCATAAGAAATCTATGATTTTTTTGGGGGTTTCTCACATGCTCAATCTGCATGAAAGAGAGGGAGTGAATACCTGAGGGACTACAGTGGAGTAGAACAGAACTAAGCTTCTACCAACCTTGAAATCCACGTAAATGTTCTACACCATAAGAAATCTATGATTTTATTGGGGGTTTCTCACATGCTCAATCTGCATGAAAGAGAGGGAGTGAATACCTGAAGGACTACAGTGGAGTAGAACAGAACTAAGCTTCTACCAACCTTGAAATCCACGTAAATGTTCTACTCTATAAGAAATCACTCAAAATTTTTGGGGTTTCTCACATGCTCAGTCTGCATGAAGGAGAGGGAGTGAGTACCTGAACGACTACAGTGGAGTAGAGCAGAGCAGAGCAGAGCAGAGCAGAGTAGAGTAGAGGGGAGTGAGCTCACCCATGGCCTCATCAAATAACATCCACAGTCCGAAATGACGCACCCTCCAGAGGAATAAAATTGCCTTTGGCATGCCTCCGGGAAGGAAGGAAGAGAGAGACGTGTGCTCAAAGTGGAACTGCAAGCAAAGGTGACACGCCAGGCAGCAAGCATCAAGAGCCGAGGCTTCATCTGCAGAGAAAGGCCTGCTCTACGTGGACCCTGGCTCTAAGCTCAAGTATTTTATGCAGATGCTCTTATCTCCTCGGGGAGACTTGGACTCGAGTCCAAAGCAAAGGCCGCAAGAAGATGTGAGCCATGTCGTCGTCACCTGTGGCTTCACATGAGCCAGTCGGGCCACTATATAAGTTAGTGTCCATCTCCGGGCCTCGAATCTCTCCTTCATCATTTGCGGTCTTATCTTGTGGGGATGTTGCGGTGGGGGTGTTTATTCTGGGTCCTGGATTTATGCGGGGTCTTTCATTTTCTTGTGATTTTTTCCTCTAGAGGAAACTGTAATGTCGGGTCCTTTGGATGAGTTCTGGTTTCATTGGTTTGTGCATGTCGTGGATTTGTGTTCTTTGGACCGCTTAAAACACACTTTTTATATTTATATATTTGGAATAAACCCAACAAGAATGGAAGGCAATAAAGTTATTCTATTTTTCTCAGTCCCGTTCCAGATCCAAGAAATTGTTTTTTTTCTTAATCCAGAGGTAAAACATATCATTGTGTTCTAACATAGAAGAAACTTATTTCTTGAAATGGCAATATGAAAAGGCATCTGCCGTGAAACTAGTAAAATATTTTGGATTTAACAAATTACTTTCGTTTTATCCACGAAATTATCTCGCGGTATAGTGTAGATGGTTACATGTCATCCGTGGAAACCCTAATCCTATAGTCGACAGAATCCTATTCCTTACTTTACGAATGGTTATTGATTGGGTTCATCAAGGTAACAACTAAAATCATTAGGTGTGTTGTGTACATTCCTATTCTATGGGAATCCTAAATAGTTCACTAATGTGCATGATATTCGTGAAATACAATATAAAAATACGCAATATACACAGTAATGATTAGACATAGTAAATTGATCTAACCCCTGAAAAAAAGTGAGTGAAACAATCATGAATGCATGCTGCGCTATGTCTATCTAGCAAATATGATGCATGTTCACTTTGAAATTTTTTTTGTCTGTTATGACTTTTCATCATATTGTTCTTCTTTCGTTTTGTTTCGTTTAGATGTTTTCATATCTTACGTATGTATACAAGGGGTATAAATGCAGAATTATTACTATGTTTACAAGGTTTCTTACATAAGTCAAAGGACATTTTAGTCCTTGAGGTACGATATGAGCTTTTGTTTTTCTTCCCTTATCCACATATTGAGCTGGACATTTTATAATTTATTTTGATGAACACACAGGTTCAACTAGCTCTGAATTTACTTTTGCCGGATGTGGCGCAACTACTAGAGCTAGTTTATGCTATTGCTCCAGCAAAGATGCATGCTCTTGAATCTGTCCAAACTCGTGTTATTTGGCAATATTATAATGTAGATTCATGACAGATCTCTATATTATGAATATGCTAAACATCAGGTTATTCCAAGACGGAACCTGTGGCTTTCATAGGCCACAACCACATGTATCTAACATATAAATACACAAATTATCAATGTCTAGCTCCACTACTATTGGCTCCCATCCTTGCTCAATATAAATCCAGACACACTCAATTGCGCACAACTTCCTGGAGGTGGTTTGAAGGATGCCGAACATATCGAATGGTTCCATTCGCAATCAGCCTCCCCTACTAATTTGAGCGGTCCGCTCACTGGACCCTCGGGCGCTAATTTTGATCTTGAACAGGTCGAATCTTCTTTTGACAAAGTTCAAAAACATCCCCGTCGCTTAATAACAATAGCCATCGCTAAGTCATTCCAACGTCACAATCTTACTCTGCATGATAAGTTGTGCATTCTTGATTTCATAGACGGGCTTGGGAAGAGTCAGAAGCAAATTACCGAGAAATTCTCCACCTAGTTTTCAAAGTTAACCTAGTCATCGATAAGTCGGATGATCAAGGATGCTAAGAAACTACATATTGTAAAGAAAAAGTATCTTGGTGCATTTTTTTACAAGTATACTCAAAAAGTAACATTTATGGAGCTTGAAGATGTGGTTTGAGCAAGCAACGGCTCGAGGTGTTCGGATGACGGATGATGTTCTTCGAATCAAGGTGCAACGGTTTGCAATAAAACTGAAAATTTTGGATGAAGACATGCTGAAGTTCTCGAACAGTTGGAGTGATGCTTTCAAGCAAAGTCATGGGATTAAGCAATACCGATTGCATGGTGAAGCTGCTTCAATTTTGGCTAAAAATGTTGAGGCCGCACGGAAGCGACTGCATGATATAACGAAGAAATGTGCTACACGTGACATCTACAATATGAACAAAACCGTACTTTACTATCACATGCCACCAAATAAAACACTTGCAACAAAGCAGATGTTAGACACAAAGGGTGAGAAGACTTGAATTACTCTAGCGATGTGCGCAAATTTAGATGGATAAGATATTAGACCACCTCTATTTCTTGGCCATGGTCGTCGACCATGGTGTTTTAACAAGAAGGATGAAACCGACCTTGGCTTTGACTACGGTCATGACAAGAAAGCGTGGATGACAAGCTCGGTTTTTCAAAAATGGCTTGATGACTTCAATCGAGACGTGAGGAGACAAGGTTGTCACATTGCTCTCTTTGTCGACAATACACCTTCTCCCATCTTCGACTCCAAAAAATTGTCCCACATCATAGTTTACTTTCTTGAACCAAAAATGACATCTCATATTCAATCAATGATGCCGATATCATCAAGACCTTTAAAGCTCCTTACTGATGCTTTTACATCATACGTGCCATTGATCATGACGACAAAGGACTTGAAGACATTTACTTTATTAATCAGCTTGAAGCCATGCGATTCTGCTTATGGGCTTGGGATCAAGTTAATCAGCAAACCGTCACAAACTGTTGGTGTCACTGCGGCATATTTTCTACAAATATTCCATCATCGACGAAGACTTTAGATTTAGACCAAGCTGTTTTGGAATTGCAAGATGCTTTGAAAAAAATTTCGGTATTAGATGTAGTTGCAAGCAAGCAATTTCCGACACTAGATTAGTTGTTTGATTTACTAACTGAGAAGATAACACACGAGGAATGTTTGGAAGAGGATATTATTCATCAAGCTCGTATCAACACTTTGGAAGCTGCGGTAGAAGTTGTTGAGGAGTTGGAGGAACTAGTACCACAACTTGAACCACTCATCTCGCTATCGGAGGCATGTAGTGCAATTTCTCGATTGGACTGTCTCTTACAAACTCGGACGGGATCTGAGTATGAGAAGGTCTTGGCAATGCTTCCTCATATTCGACATGATCTTAGATAGGAAATAAACGGCTAACTTGAGCAAGAAGATCTCAGGTCATATAGTAGTTGAACCTTCGGATAAGTATTAAACACTGGAATAAACATCAGAAGTGTATGTTACAACCTTTTTTTATTGAGAATTTAATCTCTCTTTTGTCTTGCATACACTCTTTAGATTTTTCTAAAAATTGTGGCCATTTTTGTTGCATTTCTAAAATAGTATTGTTTTTTTTCTATATTAATTGATCTGTGGATTTAGATTTATGTCTAGATAAAAAACTTTCGTAACAATTATCACTCCCAAAATAGAATCTACCTTGAATTATATTAGATTTTGTATTGAATGAGCATGTGGAGTAGATGTTATAAGTTATACTTACAGAATCATTAAAGGATTACAATTACAACGAACTGTGACATCGACACATCATATGCAAGTAATGAGTTTAAGAGATGAAATATTATCTTCTCATCGATAATAGTTTTTTGAAGATTCTGAAAATAAATAAGAACATTACTAAAGACATCAATGTGATATTGAATATGTGCAACATAAATTTCCATCTTGTAGCGTATTAACTTCATAAAATTATTCATATTATTTTAAAACTATTTGAGATGTAATCCGTTGCTTCAAGATTTTCAAAAAAAATAATACAATAACCATATTCATCCATTCTTTTCAAATTTAAAACTCGCAAATATAAAAGAATAATATTCATATTTTGCTGTTGTAGATCAATCGAATCGTCATTGCTGAAGATGAAGTTTTAAGACATCAACATCTTTAGAGTTTAGGTTTGTAGGCTTTAACTTATCTCAGACTTGTATTTTCAAAAGCAAAAAATCACAACGTACATTGCAGTTGATTCTTTCATATCCATATCCTCAAGACTTCATGACCGACATACCTTTTGCTAGATACTTGAGATTGTTGTTGTTTAAACTGTATGTATGAATGATAACTTACTTACTAATCACACATCAAATATAAAATACTAAAAAATTAAATTTTAGACTTTGGAGAAGATTCCTAGATGAAAAATTTGTATAATCTATTCTTAGAAAATTTGCTTCTCTCATTCTCATCAAATGACAAGAAGATTACTCTCAATTTATGTTTGTGATTGTTTGTGTATCTCAATCAATACATTAGCATGAAAACAAGCCTTTGTTTTTGTGCTAATTTTGTTTTAAATTTTCAAGTGAATTTTTTCAAATAGATCAAGTGAACTAAGTTTTGGTTGTATAATGTGCGTGCACCAGAAAAGAAGAAGCAAATCAATGTCAGACAAAACAAATGTGTCAAATTATCACATAAGAAGCAACAATTGATTCAACGCAACAAGCAGAAAAATGGCTACATTTAGATATATCTCACCATTTAATTGCATAAATATGACATACGATTGTTCATTCCACTCAAACCATTTGAACTTGCTCTAAAGTTCCGCAACATTGAATTGATAATCTAATCTATGCTTCATTATTCTTTACCTATGAAGATCTTAGTGCCAGCAAGCAAATTTCACATATCACATTCTTCTTTTTACACTCCAAAATCTCCCAGACTTGTCATGCTCATAATTGCAATCGAGTAATTCATACACAATATTGAATCAAAGTTGACTTGCAAATGAGGTCTTTGCTTGCATCAAAATTCTTAACGAGTCTGATTCTTCATACTGCGCTGCGGTTCAAATTAACTTTGACTTACTAATTTGTGGCGTTGATGCATTTTTAATTAAGATTTATTATTGTCAAAATTTGAATTCATAAAAATATTTTAGTTCAGTATGCCTTTGTCTTCATTGATATCATAATTTCATATGAGGGCCAGTATCGCTCAACCAACATTGATCTAAATCCCAAACACTCTGATATTAATCGTCACGAAGAAAATTGAAATGCACTTCTTGATATAGTCAATACGAGAACAACAGCCAAAACTAGAGATACATTGTCATCATTAAGAGCAATGTTTTTTAAAGCCCAAAAAGTGTCACTAAGAACTATCGTGAGTTCTTTTACATAGTTGTGATTTAGCTAACTTGAATTAAATGAAGATTTGAATTAACTCTTGACCAGAGTATATTTATATGATTTTATAACACATAATCTTCTAGCAGAAGTACTTCATGACATCATTTTATAGCTTTTTTTGTGAAGATAAATATGATCTATTACACACTTTCAAGAATTGTTATGGAAAACATTCTTAAAAAACACAATGTGTTCATAATCTATGTACATCTTAATCATTGAACACTGCAATATTTCATTATCTCGACTGTTGAAGTTCGGATTGTGTTACAAGGCTTTTTAAGTGCACACACATCTGATATATTGATGAGATAAAACATATTAAATTCAAATTCAAAATAAAAAAAATCACACTAAACGTAAAATTGATAATCAGCTATTTCTTTGGAGGTTTTACACGCATATATGCGCGTGCATTCAACTTTGCTTTTTTTTTATTGCGTAGGTGAGATCTTAACATGTGACGATTTCTCGACGGCATTTTCAGAAGGTCTTATTCTGTTCCTACATTGCTGAATTTGTGAGTCAGAGGCCAACCGCAACGGTAAGCACAAAGAGACGCGCGCCGGAATAAGATCCCGAGTGCAAGAAGTACAGAAAGGGCGGTAACTCGCATTGGACACTGCTGACGTGTTGTTACCTTGGCCCTCATTCTGAAGCACAGCAGCAGAGGAGCGCCAACTAGGCACGCTTCGTCCCGACTTTGTCCACGTCACCGGAGCGCCGAGAGTTAGAACTCGCGGTCGAGTCCAACGTACAAGCCCGCGGACGACGTATGTGATCAACCGCGCCCCACACTGTCCCTAACGATAATAAGCACGACGTAGTACGGCAGCACAACGCGACGACGGTCAGCCGGCCGCGACCGGTCCGCCCGCCCGTCCAAGGCGGAGCCGCAAACCGACCGCAGAACCGACGACGCGACGAATCGCCGAGGACAGAGCGACGTAATCGGGAAGTCGGCTGCGACTTTCGCATCGGTCGGAGTAGGTGACCGTCTCCGGCGTCCTCTCGGCCCCGGGGGGCCGGTGGTCGGCCCTCCTCTGCCTCTTTGGCAGCGCGGAGCGGGGAGCAAAAGAGACGCTTACGCGGGCGAATGAGAGACTCGCCAAGGGGAGGGGCCGAACGGCGAGGGTCTAGAAAGAAGTCGGGAACGGCATGGCGAGAAGAGGAAGGGGGGGAGAAGGGGATGGGGATGGGGATGCGCACGATGGAGAGAGAGGAGAAGGTGCACGAGAAGAAAAGGAGGAGGAGGACATTTGGAGGAGGGTGAAGTGGCCACTGGCATGCGACGCCGAGCAGCAGCGGCAGCAACAAATCCTTGTCCTGGAGGGACAGCCCTTGCGCCGCTGCTTCTTCCTCTGCTGCTGCTGCTGCTAGAGAACGACGAAGAAGCAGAACAGAACCAGAACCAGAACCGGAAGGGGAAGGCGAAGGTGAAGGGCAAGTCGCAGACCCCTTCCTCCAGAGAAGCGAAACCAGAAGTGCCAGAAGAGAAGAGGACAGGGGACGAGCTCCAGTGCCCACAAGAGGAAGAGGAAGAGCAAGAGCAAAGAGCAGCAGCAGGAGCAGTCAGAGGAGGAGAAGTGGAGCACGGAGAGCAGCTGCGGCCCACGAGCGTGCTTGACAGAGAGTCAGACGGACAGACAGGCACGAGCGGGCTTCCGACAATAATAACAACAGCGAGCGGGCGAGCGAGCGAGCGCAAAGGTGGAGGAGGACGATTGGGAAGATTTGGTCAGCAGGCGGCGATCGGCGAGGAACAGGACGAGGCGGATGTGAGACTGGAGGAGAGAGAGAGAGAGAGAGAGAGAGAGAGAGAGAGATTGCGTGTGAAGTCGACGCGGGAGGAGCTCTGGTGGTGCTTTGAGGTATTATTGGGGACCCGTGCGAGAGAATTTCGTGTGGCGGTTGATTGGGAAGGTTGGGATTGGAGTGAACTGGGACGGGCAGGAGGAAGAGAGGAAGAAGGGGGTGGGAAATTGAGGTGGATTGGGGAGGGGGCGATGTTTCTGGAGAAGCAGTGGATTGATTGAATCTGGGCACGAGAGCGAGAGCGAGAGAGAGGGAGCGAGAGGGAGGGAGAAATTGCTTGTTTTGAGGCAGAGTGAGTAAATTCGCGTGGCCGGAGGGGAGTCGAGTGTCGTGGGGTTTTTGAGGGCGCCACCCCCAGGGTGGGGTGGAGATAGGCGGAGGACGGAGGCCAGAGGGCCGGAGGAAGGGCTATCAGCACAATGAAGGGTTTGTTCAAGAACAAGCCGCGGACTCCTGCTGAGCTGGTGCGTGTCACCAGGGACATGCTTTCGACTCTGGACGCAATGCCGCAGTCCCGCGTTGATGCAAGGAAGGAAGAGAAGGTACTTCAGCTGGTAGCCGCTTCAAATTTTGCTTCTGTTTCGAAATGTGTGCAGTTTTCTTCTCAGGTTTCTGAGCCCTTCGCATCAGCCCCTTGGTGATCGACTCAACGTGCTGGCCTGCGTTGCCCCCTCCTCTGCATAGCTATCGGTAGATGTCGATATATGTGACGGGAAGGTCCGAACGTGACCATAATCTGCACGGTCAGGTCTTGATATCATTGGGGATTTTCCAAATTTCTGCATCCATCCGCAATACGCGCATGGCTCAGTATTGTGGCCTATGCCAAAACGGGATGCTTTGTGCAATGCCGATAATACTCCGGGCAGATAACGTGCTTATTCTGCAAGGGCTTTCATGGGCTGCAATTTCTTCCTTCCAGACCTCCCTGTAGTTCGCACATAAACAAGGCACTTTTGAATATTCAGTAAACCCTTCCACTGTATTCGCAAAATCAGTGATATGTCAGTTTCCAAATATGCCTAGAGTATCAGTGAGCTCACGAGGTTGTCAAGACACCAAACAGGGAGGAAAGGTTCAGGGAAGTCTATGTTTGTTGTGAGGACTTTTCGAGAGCACGCGATCAGATTAACTTTTGTACAAGCCCTGCACAACGAGAATGTTGCGGAATTCTTCGTAGCGAATCGCTTTAGCTTCAGTTGCAGATTATGCCTTTATCACCTTTATCTACAGACTAGGCACTCCTGTATAAAATGGATCGAATGCAGCTCCGCATTCCTGTGGTGGCTAACGGATCAACCACTTGGTTAGGCCTTTTCAGGTGATATAGTGGGTATGGCACCTGCACAGTAGTCTAACGCAACATTCCCAGGGATAAGGGAAACTTTATTATACTTAAGCTGAATTTTTTTCTGAAAGAGTTTGAGGGGTTTCTCGTCCTTAGTGGTACCCGTCAGTTCTCACTACCGTGGAGTCTTTTTGACTTTGGGACCAATTCAGAAGGCACGGCGGGTCACAAGTTGGAAATTTCAATTCGGAAAGAACTCTTTGTGTGGGAAATCGACATGTTATGAAAAGCAACTCGAAGCCCTGATTTTATTTGTCCTCATTTCACACGCTAATTTGTTTACAATCAGAAATGAGGATAACGTAAGGTAAGGCAACGGAATGAACGAATGGATTGTGTTGTCCAGGCTATGTTGAAATGTCACCAGAGGTTGAGCAAAAATTGTCCAACAGGAGTCTGACCACTGCCGATGTTGTCTTGATGTGACAGGTAGTATCACTGGTAATATACTTGGACCTCTCAACGGAAGCCATGTGACTGTCGTTGTCTTTCCAAATCAAAGCTGTCAATGAAGGGAAAGGCCTATTTTAACTTTTGATGGGCGTCATTTGGTAGAACGTTTTTCTCGTTCTGGGGTTGTTGTTTCACAGCATCAGTCTCAGCCTCGTGATTCTCGACAGAGGAAGCACTTGTTTCTCGGCCCTACCCTTGCCTTGAGTTAAATTATCAAGCACGCCGCGGAATTATCTTGATAACTGTCGTCGTTATTTGCCATGCTTTATTGTGCGTGCTTAAACCATCACATTTGTGTTAGTAGGCCTTTTTTTTTGCCTATGACACTGCAGTATTGTTGGATACTTTCCTCTCTTATTGGATGGTCACGGCTGTTTTGCTCTTGTACTTCACGTTGATATTGCATCATTACATCACGCACAATCCTTTCATCCACATGCAATCATTAATACAGTGTTCCATACACATCATTGTGTGATTCGTTATTGTTTCTTGGGAGGGGAACCGTAAAATTGCGTAAGCTTGGGAATATGCAAATTACCTATCCAAACCAACTTTGTACCTCAAACATCCCTTGGTATGGGACGTGTCCTGAACTTTGTAACACATGTGATGCTGCAGCTGAACGACCTGAACAGGAACATCAGAGACATGAAGAATATCCTATATGGGAGCAGCGAAACGGAGCCAGTCCCTGAGACCTGTGCGCAGTTGACCAATGAAATATTTAAGGACAACACTTTCCGATTGCTGATACAATGTCTTCCCAAGTTGGATCTGGAGGTAAGCATGATTCTCGGAATGTTCCACCTTTAATCTAGTTATATGCTGCCTGTCATCGTGGCCCACATGTTGGAAGATATTGGCAATGACAGCAAGGATCTATTCATGTGCACTAGATTTGTGAGAGAAAAAGTTAATGTACCTGTGTTGTGTGGGTACTGATGACTTCCAGTTAGAATCACTTCATTGTTCCACTCGTTTCTCTGTTTTGCGTGTAAAGTTTTGTACTCAGAAAACTTCTGGTGTGGACCTGGTAAACATAGACTTCGACAGCTTGGAGTATATGACTTCAAGGAGAGTATATATCCACCATTAAGACTACATGAGTCTTAGGGAACCCATCCCTCTGTTGATTCGCAACTGTTTTAGCTCTCTCTGTTCGTTCATAAAACTTTCTCTAAATATTGGATAAAGGGCAGATTGGTTGGCAACAACAGACTGAGGCTTAGAAGATTGCCTATCGTGAGTATACAGAAATTGGTCATGGAGGAATCAAATCAGGAATCTGACTTCTCCTGTCCTCGTTACGAGCCTGAAGTTAAAATACCGCTTTGGGACTAAACCTTTCAACTATAAGAAAGCCATCTTGCTATTTGCACTTTTTTTTTGGGTGAATATTTTGTCCTTGAGTTGACGACAGCATTGGAATTCTCATTTTCCTCAGTTGGTGGCTCCAAATTATACCGGTAAACCTTAGCCTTTATCCAAACCTAGTGAAGGGTTTCTGGACTGACACTGGGAGCTCCCCAACTTGATCATGGGGAGTAACCTGCAACGAGACATTTCCTTCTTTACTTGCATGTAGTTCTCTTTCTTACTCCCTTTTTTTCTCATCCCATTACCTCTTCTTCTCAACCTTTCACAACTCACACCTTTCATTGAGAGGTTGAGATTTGGGGTCTTCATGTCAGTTTTAATATAGACCAATGAGGGCTCTTATTAATAAATAAAGGAACAAAATCTCACTTGTTCATGTGTTTCCACTCAACGCCCATCCTCCATCATCTTGCAGGTACAGCTTACGAAGTTATTCCTCTCTTGTCTCTCTCTCCGTGCTCACTCATAATATCATCTTAATCATGCTTAGAGTGGTGACTGATATTTCGAGTATCACATTTATAGTTACGGATGGACACGTCCCAATCACATTCGTATGAAGCATATGAAAGTGATGTATCTTCCTTCCCACTTAAAGAGTTAACATGTATTACTCATGTTTTCTTGCCTAGTCGTATATAATTGTGCAGAGGTTTCTGGTTGAATAGTCTCTTTCCATTTTGAACCAAATCGTTAGCCTGTCCATAGTTAGAAATTCTCCAACTTAGAAGCAGGACATCTAAATATCTTCTCGAACCAATCTCTGTTTCTAAGTCACAAACGATCTTCTGATTTTTCCTTGCTTAAGACTTCCTACACCTTGATGCATCACTATCTCTATATTGGTCCAAAATTTCTTGGAACTGGCAACTTATTCAGCCAGTTTCGTCCACATACTGTAAACTTTTGGAACATCTAGCTTAGCGTTTAGGGCTGTGGAAGATCCACGTTCGTCCTTTACAACCCTACAAAGGAATATTTTAAGGAAGGATTATAATCCTTCCTTTAAACATTTTCCTCATTACTGGTCCTTTGGTGCTAGCAAGTAGTCGGTAGTTTTATTAAGATCAATTGATAAAAAATATGGATGAGTATATTTGTGTGAGATATTTTTCATTTGCCATCAAGATCTATGTACCTATAAGTCCTTCGTTTGAAGTTTGGTCTCTTACTCCTCCTTTGCCCGTAGCAGATGTCTGCGACTCAGGTCTACGCACAGCCTTTTATCACCATGAGTGCTTGAGCTTCATTGATCCTTTCTGTTCCTATGGAGCCAATGAATATATACGACTTCTGTATTGCAGTTAGTCTATATACAGCCATATCACCATCATTGTTTCTGCTTATCCCATTTACACATACAATTTCGAGATGCTAAATGAATCGGATTGAGAAGCTGATTGAAGAACAATTGATCACTGTATATAATCGAGTGAGTATTGACCAAGGTAACTCTGATTTAAAGAAAAATCAAAACGAGGTCTCTCATGTCCTATTTTCAATGGATATTTCATAAGGCTGAAGACCATATCTTCGATGACAGTAACTTTGCGATTGATCAGGTATTGATATTAGTCATGATGGTTATTCTCAGGCACGCAAGGACAGTACACAAGTGGTGGCTAACTTGCAAAGACAACAGGTCCAATCACGTCTTATCGCTTGTGATTACCTGGAAAAGAACAGGGATTTATTGGACATCCTTGTGGCTGGGTAAGTCTCTCTTGTTCTCAGAAGTATTGGAAAATAGCTTATGTTGGCTATGATTAGGCGCATCTACTGCCGTGTAGGTAGAAGGAGCTAGTGTCATCATGCTATCGCAGACGAGTACTTATGATTCAATTTTATTTTTAGAAATACAAACAACTACCAACTTTTTATACGATCTTGAGGCTTAATCTATTATCTGCTGTAAGGACTTCTTTATCCTTCAACATGAAACCTACTGAGGCCAGTCTTTTCTCTGTAACCGAAGACAATCTTTGCTTGGTCTTTTGCTTAGGTTACAGAGATTAAAGTGAAATTACAATCTTTTATAACAATATTTAGTGCAGGAAATTTCACTTGCTTATCGTGACGTGTTTACAAGTGTTTTCTGATCTAAGGCAATGAGTTGAAACTCTACAGATGTAACAAGTTAGGGAGGTTCGTCTATCATGTGATAAAATACGAGCGTTGTTGTTGGAACTGAAAGTAATCAAAATCTGGGTTGCGTCGATGAACTTATTTCAGATAATGGTAGATTTGACAGCCCTGGGTTCTCTATGGGGTGAGTGGTTGGCAGCCAGAGTGCAGGAGTCTTTTTAACAATATGGGTATTTTGTTTGTGGAAGTTTCATAACCACTTGATGGTTCTAAATTCTGCTAAGACTTCAGCAGTGGTCAAGAATGTACAATCAATCCAAATTGTGCTTGCTTTGGTATCTATACTAGGTCTGGTGAAGAATACATAATTCCTTCCTACAAATATTGTTTTGCTTGGTCTTCATGCAAATGTAAAAACTGTATCAAATTTAAATTCCGTGCAAACTGTTATGCGACATATGTTTTGGTGCTCTGAGAATTAGTTTCATAGGCTCGTCATAGGCTCGAAAAAATTTATAAGCACAGCGAAGTAGTATGAACATCACAATCTCTTTGGTCGTTATATTTTGGTCTAAAAAACTGGGGGGAAAGCTTACTTTGAATATTTCACCGCCCTCTACTACTACTACTACTACTTCTTCTAATATGGAGATTATCTCGGATATAAATTTTGAAGTGTGAAATGCTCAGTGATAGCCTTGTATCTGTTTTTGCCACAATAGCATTTGCAACTTCATTACGAATAAACCCTCACTAGACAAATGTTTTCGTCCTTTCATGGAGTCTAACACCTTTTTAAGGTGTTCTGAATTCTGGCGTTTAGCCTGAGTAAATATAGATGTCGAAGTTGGATACGTGTCGTATGCTGCTATCCAAGACTGTCTTTGCTGATGGATATGTCTGCTATCAATTTCATTCGTCTTGTAAGTCTACGGTGGCACTGCTTCTAATATCGTTATGAGATTTTGAAATCAGATATAAGAATCCAGAAATTGCCTTGCATTACGGAACAATGCTTCGTGAGTGTATTCGTCATCAAAGTATAGCTCGGTACGTGTTTTCCTTCAGCAGCTTAATTTCTTAAAAATGATGAACTGCGGGAATGTTGCTGGAAATTGTGGAAACCTTGTATTTAGGCCTCCGTCAGATAGACATCTCATACCAGTGCATGAGATTGATTGCATTCAGTGTGCCGGATGCCCAAGTGTTTACCTTGTAAGCGTCTTGAAACTTTCAAAATCACCTTGTTAACCCAGTAGGGGTCATGTTACGTTGCAGATTTGTCTTGGAGTCTGGTAACGTCGAAAAGTTCTTTGTGTACGTTGAACTCCCAAATTTCGACGTGGCATCGGATGCATCTGCAACGTTCAAGGTCTGGATATGTACTATCCCCCTGCCGTCCATTTTGGGCAATTCACAAGTTTTCTCGAAATTTCAAGTTTTATTACATCTAATTTCATTGAACTAGTTGTCAACTCCAATGCTGCGTTTTCTCCATATTGGTTCTGACTTTAATGGTCTGTTGCACGGATATTTGCAGGAACTTTTGACTAGACATAAGTCAACCGTTGCAGACTACTTTGCCAGGAATTTTGAATGGGTAAGCTCAGCTTTTTGGAGGAATTTTAATTTTTTATTTGTTGCATAGAGGCATCTGGGTGTGAAGATACATAGTGAATATCGATGAGAGAGTGTTTGATCTTTCTCACTTCGCGGTTCTCTTCGAGGGTGGCTATCACTTTTCTATAGAAAATAACCTTTTTTTGAAGTCTATTAAACCTTCCTGATCAATTCTTGAGATCCATCGGAGGCAATAATTTTGTGTACGATGATGCTGCTATGTAGTTCTGTGGGCATCTCACAATTTGTTAGTGCCCATTCCGTTTGGAGTTACATCAGGCTTGACATTGTCACTTACTGAAAGTATTAGGCACCTGATTTGGTCGCTGATTTGTCTACTTTCTCTCTGTTTCTATGTGCCCCATAGTTTTTCGGCGAGTTCAATAGAAGACTTCTGGAGTCCACGAATTATATTACGAAGCGGCAGGCCGTGAAGGTTTGTGTAGATTTCCCACCGTACTGCTTGAATCTAGCCAGTTTCTTTCATTACTAGGGCTGCTTTTCTATGCACCAGGTCTAGCCTTTCGTTGCATTTCTTTCTAAGTTCTCAAGAGTAGGTATGCTCCTTGTTAAGGTCAGTTGTTTGTGTATTCTTGTTTTCAATTTTGTTATATGTTTTTCATACGTGACATTCGATTTTGTGCTTTGATTCTTTACGCCTAGAGTATGAGATGGTTATGAAACCGTTGTTATCTTGCAGCTTCTAGGCGACATGTTACTAGATCGATCGAATCTGCCCTCCATGATGAAATACATCAGCTCCAAAGAGAATCTCATTATATTAATGAATCTTCTTCGGGTTAGCATCTTGACTCTTATGTTGATTTTGTCCTTTTTGATTCAACAGGAAGTTGCACCAGTACTAGCCTACGGTGCTGGCTGATCTTTCTTGGGGTTTCATTGGAGCTTAGTCTTGTTGCGTAGATGTGGAGATGTGGCCTTTTACCGTTTCTCCATGAATTGGTGCAGGATGATAGTAAGAATATCCAGATAGAAGCGTTCCACGTATTCAAGGTAAGTTTTTCTGTTGCAGAGAGCAATCTCTTTGTTCTGTTGACCATGAAGTGTTCCGATTGCTCCTTGTGCTGAGTATCCGGCGCTTACATTGTTTTACGTTGAATGCCTTGACTTTACTTGATTTTGCTCTGCGTCATTTCCCTTACTTTTTCTGCGATATCTAAGTACAAATGTGTGGAAGAAGCGATCATCGTTTCCATCTTTTGTACTGTTCATGTAAGAAATGATTCTAAACTCTGGTTTACGGCTCAACCCAGAATTTATATAACCAAAAATATGGCGGCTTGTGCCAGGTTTTTGTTTCGAATCCATCTAAACCCCCCGAGATCGTGAGCATACTTCTCGCAAATCGACACAAGTTGCTTAGATTCTTAAACGACTTTAAAACGGAGAAAGGTGAGCTACATAATCCATGTGATTACAGGAGTTTGTCCTGAGTCCAGGCCTTGGCCTTGCGTTTCACTTGCCTTTCAGTTTTCATTCGACGGTTCAAACTAACAGAGACGTGAATCTCATAATGTGCAGAAGATGAGCAGTTCGACTCAGACAAGGCTGCGGTGATCTATGCAATCCAAAGTTTGGATTCAAGACAGGATAAACCTCCATCATGAGGCAAGCGGTCCACATATTACATCTCAGATATGAGCCTTTTGAGATGAATATTGTGGCAAGTAGTGCTTATCTTGCCAATGCTGTTAGTAAATTTCAAGATGTTCTATGTACATCTAGTGTTGGTTTTGTTTGTTGAATATTGAAAGCAATTAGATCCAGGTACTGGGACAAATTGAGATCCCAATTGTTATCCGCTATACGAGTGACTAAAGAGAAGAGCGCAGGTCACTCACTTGTTCGTGGGGGACACTTTGACAAGTCACTCGCGAGGTGTAACGTCTTGCTTGCTGTGAGAGAAGTGACCAACCATTTTTGGTCTATGTTAGAGGCTAAGAGTTTTGTCCATGGATGATAAGTGAAGTGAATGAGGAGCTGGGAGATGGTCAAAATCCTCGATATTCCGTGTTTGTTCATCCCGACTATCTCGTAGTTTGGCCGTCTATCAGAAGGTGATTTGCTGCTTAACTGCAAGTGAGGTCGCTGCAGTCCGTTCTGGTTCTTACAGGTGCATCCCAAATCAGGTCCCTTTGGATCGCCAAGTCTGACCATCCACAGAATATCTGTTTCGGAGGTCTGAATGAACTGCAGAGCAACGGCAAGATGATGATGATGATGATGATGGGAACTGGGGCCCATTGGGTTCAGTACTTCCTTCTCTGCTGAACTTCGTGTATACATCCGGCAATGGCGCTTGGTGACGCCCTAGGCTTTCATGTGGAGGTTCTGAAGCCCTTCAGTGGTTCATCCGACTGGGACCTCTGCAGAGTCCCGTCAAGGCTCTCTGCTTTGGATTGAGGATTCCCATACCACGGATGCAGAGCACTTGTGAACTCAATATATTGTCTGTGCGTCTTCCAAGGAAGATCCAACAAATACTGGAAGCTCGATGGACAAAAGCGTTCCGGCGCGAAGTGTGCCTTGCCTCTACGCTTCAGGCACCTGAAACCTTCCTCAGTACTTTATTGACTCGTTCAAGTCTTATTTGCTGTCTTGCCATTTTCGTTAAGAGCTTCTTAGTCCAAGTACAGAAACACAGACTGGGTTTCCAAAGAAGCCCGTGTACAAATGCTCTATTCCTTGTAATGTTTGCTACGTCGTAGGTCAGACCTCGTGGACATGCCTCTAACGAACTTTGTAAATAGCAGAGTTTTCATGTAATTCATCTCCTGCGAGGGGACTGTCTTTGCAAGCTGCCAAGCTTCTGGGTCTCATGAATTGGTCCCGCCCCGTGCATGCATGTCCAGTTGTACCAGTTGTGTGCATTGTGATGCATTCGGAGCGGTTGTGTTGGAACGTACCTATTCTGTTTCTACCTTAAATCTCATCGCTCATAGTGAGAAAGGATCTGCTAAAATTTGAGAGATATTCTGTGTAACCTGTCTTATGTCTCCCTTTGGTGATGCGGAGTATGTGTCATTACTTAGATGTGCTAATTCGCCGATGGGCACAAACTGCACCTCGACAACGGATGTGGAAAGCGATTATATAAACGAAACTGAAGTTTCTGTATATGTATATGCTACTTGAATTTATACATATGTATATCTTTATCTATACGAAACTACCATTCCACGTGATTATCCATTACTCTGCGATTCTAGAGGCATCACATACTTTTGACTACCAGATCAGTCCACCCTACAAAAGAAAATGGTTCAATCTGCGTCTGTCTCGAGGAGGAAGGACTCGTACTCTGGGATGATGTGGATAACGTGTCACGAAGGCCAGAGGGCGAGGACTCACCATAGTACTCTCAGGAAATCTGACGACTGATGTCACGACACGTAAGTGAAATTATTTGCAAACGGAAGGATTGCATCTTAATTTCAGTGCATTCAAGGTGTGGTCAAAGAGTGTGACAGGACATTCTAGATAAAGGGGAGCTATGAAAATCAGATGGCTATTTTCTATAAGCATTAGATGAAGGGAGTCATAACAATGTCAGAGCGAAACTGCAAGAGTATCTGTGTGTGAAACTCATTAACCGGCTAACTTAATCTCGTTTTGTACAACGAGACGTGGTTACAATTGTACGAAGCAAAAGCCAGGAAAGAAAAGAACAAAACAGGGGGTTAATAGAAAAGCGAGATTTAATCACTCATGATAAGTGACTATACTTATACATATGCTTCGAATTATACTTACTGAAAAGTCTCTAGCATATCACCGTGTCTAGAATAATCATCAATAAACTAAGATATTTTTTAAAAATTCTCACTGCAATGGGTTAAAGCAATTAGGTCCAAGATGTTAAGGGGAGGTGAATCGACCATCATTCACTAGTGACTGCACAATGGCGGTGCAAGTCCATATGTGGACATGGGAATGGAATATCTTTGTTTATTTATCTTGCTGCCTAACTCACTCGATCACTCTATTCTCCTTGCACCTGATAAAGTATATCAATATGAAAAACACTTATGTAGAAGTGCTGGACTGACTGGTACGTTATCCAATGCCAAGATGTTGGTTATGAGATTATAATGCATTCACTGCATAGTATCGTAATTCTCAGTGTCTATCTAAAGCACATATGGTAACAATGCAAGCGTATTGAAATACAAGTGAAATGACGAGGATTTTTATAACAAGATTTTTACCTGCACTATCCCTAGTACTTGATTCTGTGATTGGCATGGTTGGGGCATGAGCATAGCGTTGTTGACTATGAAAAGTCGGATCTGCACTTTTTAACTGTTTTGCTCGAGAGGAAGAAGAACGGACGATTTTAGAAGGTGTCGAATCCTACGACTGTCGAAAACCTATCCCGTCAGTAACAGAAGGAGTACAAGCAGATGAAGTCATTACATGACAACAAAGGTAGTTGGGCTTGGATCATAGAAAATCGTGAAACATATGCGATGATCAGAAGCTGAACTTAACGCATTGACTGCGAGCTGTTAGAAGATCATGGTCTCCTCACGAAGACTTGTCTACGCTCAAAACAGTTTATGATCGGATGATGATGAAGTGACGTCAAAATTCTCGGTAAGAATAAAAATTGAGTTATGAACATATCACGAGACGAGAACTTGCAAAGACGTGTCTCAGTGAAGCACTTAAACTAACCACAGCTTGAAGTGACTCTTCTTTAGGGATGGAACATATTGCAGCTACAAAATTATAATCAAACATCAATAATACACTAACATGACAAAGTCTCTCAAGTTGTCGGAAGCACATTACAGTACACTGAAACTAAGTTTATTGATAACAAGGATAATACATAGTAACCATTTAAAGTGTTGCAAATTGACCCACACCAACTTGGTTGACTTCATTCACTGTACTTCTCAAGTCAACTCCAAAGGTTTCTGAGTTATTTGCTTGCGGCTCGAGTTTCCTCCGTCTGTGACTCTGTTGGTGGGCATTTGCTTGATTCACTTCTAGCTTGAAAAGGAAGTAGACGCTGAATTCATGAAACTGCTACCATGCGTCTTCAGAGAATTTTCTACAGTTTTATTTTGGATTGTGGTCGATTATCATGGTTTTCGTTGAGAAATATTCTGGAAAACCTCTTCTGCACGATCCCTGTTGTTACAGGATAGGCTACAAAATCATGCTTATAAGCGCTGCCTCTGACTGACAACGCAAAATTGACCAACACACATGCAGATATACCTTCAGATCATGCAATACAACAGTCACTGAAAGATGCATTTCTGTAGCAAGGGAGATGTAAGATGCATTTCTTAAGTGACATGGACTATGGCTAATACACCCACGTAGTGATTTAAGGCTGAAGAAAGAAAGCAACCCTTAACGAATAGGCGACGAGGGGATCTAACCACATACCTCGAGAGCTTCAATATTTTGAAACGTGACTAAAGAGAAAAAGGACAGATACAAGGTTTCAGGTATTCTGCTCACCTGCCAATCGAGAGGCCACCTCAAAAATAGGAGGTAGTATACTCACCAAATCTTAAATCCTGTCAAATGGATGGTTTGCAGGTATGCATTTCATCCATACCTCAATTATTTCTCTTATGGATGTACTGCATACCTGCATTATATCCCATTACATTTCATCATAATAAATTCAAGGCTTGATCTTTGTCCTGCACATCCCCCAATCATGTTTGGTTACCACCTGAAAAAGATAGGAATGTACATCTTGGAGACCGCTCGATCTACAATGCAGATTTGTATGTCTGTTCCCCAATCCAAGCTTGTTATCACTACATGATACCAGTACACAATGTACATCTGCTATGGCAGGTAACATGTACTTCCAATGACAATTCATCTTCCCAGTGCGAGTTAAAGCAGTAAACAGCCAGACTCCGGCCAATCTGGAGACAATCTTGCCCAAACACAAATAACGTTGATCCCTAGTCTCTACCGCTTGTATATCATGGGTAAAGTGGTCTGTCCTGCGTATCATGTATAAGGCTGGAGATGTGACAAGTCGTGGGAGATAAGCCTTCTTTTTGCCGGTCCTTACCTGAAGAAGAACTTCCAGATAGTAAGACTTGCATTCACATATTGGAAATCTTACAAGAAAACAACGTGCAGAGAAGCGCGAATTTCTGGAAAGCATGCTTATGTGTTGCCCCCAGTGGCAGCCATGCACTCACCTAATCTTTTCCACATGGGTTCACATTAGAAAGCGCAAGGGCTCAATATTGTGTTCTTGTGTGACGTTTTAAGGGATCTGTCACACGCAATTCCGAGCTTTAAAACAGTTTAGATTGTTGCGTTGTCTCACAGAGTCGTGGAATAAAATTCAGTCTCGTAGGCCTGACTTCCACAACACTAGACACGTCTGGAAAGAGTTCGATGAAAGATTTGTTTAAGACTGGAGCTGCGATCAGAAAGTTGTAGAGTTGGTTGGACGCATGTGATGTTGCGGCCACACACATGGGTGAACGGAAAATATGTTTTGTTTTCCTACTACTGGAAAGCAAAACATCATAGCAGTCGTTTGTGAAGCTAGTTGTGCACTACTTACAGTCATGGAATTTCCAGCTCATGAACTTTCCATAAGTCTAGTGTCTACTCTGGCTGATCAGAGCCATTCTTGCTGGTTTCGAATCCGAAATCGTAGAAATCACTGAAGCGTCTACAATTTTCGTAGCTGTTTGAGAAAGTTGTATGTCTCTTCCTGTCGTCCAACCCGACCACCGAAGACTTCATGAGGAATCTTAATCAACTTTGGCATCTGCAAAGAAGCGCTAATTTAGTTCTTTCAGCTTCTAAAATGTAGTTCCAAATCTATGCGTGCTACTAGCTTCAGGCTATGGTTTATTTCCCAATCCCACCAAGAATGTGGTACTCCATTTTTCAAGCATTTTCACATTATCCACTCAACTCCCTCGTTTACTTTACCAAAATAGCCGCCAGCTTCTTGCATGTGCTGCTCGTTCCATAGTTTTAGATGTATGACGCCATGTCAGGTAGTGTCCGATACTTTATTATGGTTGTATTCTTGTCTATCGAGAAAAAGAGACAAAGGGAGGACGTCGTAATGTGCTACAAGACTGCATAGATTAGTCAAATTTATACATGTAGGCGGTAAAGAGCTCCCTTCGTTGGAGGGAGTTTACTCATGTTGGACGCAACTCGGGGCATCACTTGGTGTGTGATGTAGTACCAAACTCGCTGCTTGCAACTAAGGCACCGAAAGGATAGGAACACCTGCAAGAGCTCGAATTACTCCACGTTGAAAAGTGCTCTAAACCATCAAAAATGAGGTACATACCTCATGTTTCGATATGCAGGACCATGGAATTATTAAAGAGTTTAGAAATGCCTCCAAGTTTGAACGTGCTCTAACATAGACAGATGAGGGATAGTGTCCACAAACCGTCAGATCGAATCCACAGGTTCCTACTTTTCATAAAGATCGCCGATGCAAACCCAAACCATGGTGGGGTGGGGCGAGTTCTTCTCGACCAGAGTTGGAGTCTCCATGTGCCGCCAAATGTTGATCCTGGAGTCCACAGAATCCCAGATCAAATGATCAGCGTGGACTTCATAGTATTCCGGCTCATGATATCTTTGCTCTAACGGAGGCGATGCGCGAAGGTCTGGGGATCTTTCCTAACGAGCTAGTTGTCGAGAAATCGAGGGCTCTCACTGGCGGCCTCGGAGATGATGTCCAGCAGAAAGCCCTAGCTTTCCCTCCCCACCGCCGGGGAGGGGAGGTAGGGGCAGGGCTCTGGGCCCCCACGTTGCCAACTTGCAAGCTCCTGAGGAAAGAGTGGACCCTGGTGACGACGCTGGTGGCCTCGAAGCCGCTCGACACTTGGAAAGGCTGCGCTCTTGAAGCTCGAGGCTCGCATCTGACCCCAACCAGAGCCCACGAACGCGTCGAAAGCTGCAACTGTCGTGCACCATCGTCGAAGCCCTCCAGTGCTCCAGAGCTCCATCAAATCCCTACCTCTCGGCTGCACAATGGGGAGAGACCTGCGCGAATCCAGCCTCCCCTCGCCTGTCATCTATCGCCGTCGGCCTCGCCTGCTCATGATTCACCCGCACCGAGTGCCCCAATGCGAGGGCTCGTCCTCCATCGCTGAAAGCTCGAGCTGCTGGAGGACTCCTCCGGTTCGACGGCCGGCGTGGTGGTCGTCGGGCATCAATGCGGTCGCAAGTGGTGCTCATCGACAGGCCTATCGTTGCTCGGTGGGCTAAATAATTAAATGATTAAATCTTTCGACATTACTTTTGTTGTGATCATGTCCTCAGAGCCTTTTCCTTTTTTTTTCTCATTGGGTGTGCTTTGGGGCTGCTTTCTGAGCGTCATAAATAAATAATTAAACGATGGGAAGTCGTTCAAGGAATAAGTCGATATGAAAGAGGTCAGTAGATTTATGTCACGGATTCACATTGAGAGATGTGAATACTTATTCAATTGCCATTTACTTGTTATGATATAGCTCCGGGAGAATTTATAAACGAAACGAATAAAAAATTGTTGCTTTCCAGGAGAATTTTTTTACTATTGTATCTAACACCACATCTGTGTTCACGTTATATAAAACATTCAGGATGTAAATTACTCAATTTTTTTTAAAAAAAGATGAATGTAGCGCATTAATGAATTTCAAATATTCTCATTCTTTTCTAAGCTATGGTAATGTGTGCATACTATTTTTTTAAAAAAATAAACGTGATGTATTACGTGTATAGAACTTATCTGCGAGTATCTTCTGTCACTTGGACTAGCCGATTTCTTTTCTATATCTGTTGAACTGATTAAAGCTCATTTATTTGAAAAAATATCTCTTTCTTGGCAAGTCACTTTCTCCGAATTTCACCATATTATATTCAAGTAGACTCTAAGTGGTAAAGATACGCCGATGAGTAGGTTTTTGAAATATCTCAATTGGAGTTTACATGCTAGTTCAAACTTCACAAACAATTATCATCACAAATATCATTTACAAATATCATCACAAGTTTTTCTTCATGATGCTATTATATTTCAAAATACATTTTGTACATTTCTCAAGCTTTTACAATGAAATCATCTATCGATCTTAAAGGCCGTGGGGAGCGCGGGCTACCTAAAAGTTGAGTTGCTAATCTGAGCTTATGATCCATGGCCCGTCTCTAATAGATAGATATACGAAGTTTGTTTCAGTTAGTTGATTTTATTTAATTCTTGGATCGGCATTGCAGTCGGGAGACGAATTTTTGACAGAAATGGCACGTCAATTTACTAGCAACATATTCAGTCAGTCAGCGATTGAAAACTTGATTTATTGTATGTTTTTATTTACCCGGCCCGGCCTAAATGGAAAATCTTGTGTGGAAACACAGAATGCTAAAAGACTAAAATTAATTTAAGCTACCATTTTGGACATGGCTCGATCCTTGAACGCAAAATCATCATATGGTGGAAACGACCCTGGCAGCTTACCTTAAGATCGTGAATTGACGTGCAAAAATCGTAAGGAGATTATGTAACTCAAGAGCCTTCAGGCAGTACATTCTAGAACAATTAGAAGCAAAAGTTACGAGAGGAATATGGGGAAACCGCAGATGAAGACAAGGGTGGCCGGCCTGTCACAAGGTCTCGAGAGAGAGAGCTGGAGCCTGGAAGGAAGAGGAAGGAGACGCATGAACCTTCGAACGATCGACCTTTCGGACGGCGCGTAATGTCTTGCGGAGAAGACAAAAGCCAGAAATCTTCGTTGTGCCCTAATCAAGAAGCCATTGGATTCTTGTAGTACTCTCGACTGATGCAGATGCACAAGTGCTTTCGGAGGAAGATGTCACGCTGTGATGACTGCACCAGCTTGCACCAAATGGCTGTAATTTGGAAGCATGCCTGACGACCGACTGCAGATTCTCTATTAGAGATGGAAGGACGTGCCTCGTTTCCCAGGCGGGTATTTTCACTATCTTTGGAATATCGTTCTCTCGACCTATGTCGATCGAGATGATAGTGTTAGCACCATCGTGTCCCAATTGGCAGACGTATTTATGACACCTTTCATGAAGGTATGCATCTTTACTTTGAGACAGCGAATTTGGATTGGAGTACCAGGGTTGAAGGTAAAATCCACAACGCTCTAGCTTGAACTCCAAAGTTCACGGTTAACAAACTTCCGTCACATTGACGGTTTGCTCTATTTAGTAAGTTAGATGAAACCCTGTCTCTCGTCTTAAATCGCAAGCTCACTTGCAAGATTCTTCCGATGGAACGGGAGAATTAAACCCTGGAGTTAAGAAAGCATTCGAAAGAAGTCACAGATGTAAAAGAACACATTCCGGAAGTGGAATCGAAATAACAGACAGAGATAAATTTCGCCTCTAATTGGTGGAGAGAGGTCGGAGAGATCGGAAAGAGACATGGGTGAAACTTTTCAACGGCCTCCCTTTTTCACAGCGTTCCGAGGTGGAGAGGGAGGGAGGGAGGGAGATTCTTCCAGCGGACATAGCTTGGGAACAGCCCCAAGGACCAAAGCGCCAATCAGCGAAATCTCTAATTCCCTCGATCACTTCCTCTTGGCGATGATAAAAAATTCGACCAGACAGGAAGCTCATAGATGAATTATACATACTTCTATCGTCACATTGAAATTAAGCCACACCTTTCGAAGATGTTGGAAGAATGTATCGCTGAATGTCACTTAACCTATTGATAAATGTTTAGAACCCCTTCTCTTCATCGAGAGAACCGTAGTCGCGTGGGAATAGTCTTCCCGTCGATTTCGCTTTGCCACTCGCCCATTTTACTCTAACGAACAAAAAGTGGAGGACGGTCAAAGTTGGGGGGATCTCGAGGAAACTTTAGTCATTAGGCTACTTTAGCCGCGGTTAAGTCGAGCATCACGAGCGCCAAGTGTGAGTCACTGCGAGAGCCTCTTCGATGGCAAAGGAACCCGGGAGAAGGCACGACCGCTGCGGCGGGGCCTGGGAGCTTTCGGGCCGGGTGGTCTCGATCCGGCCGTCCAATGAGGATCTGCAGATGCGAAACATTCCAGAGTAATGGTCAACTGTTTGCCCGTAGTGAAATTTCGTCGCGACCCGCTCGTTCCCTTCGCACCGACCGAAAGGGACGTCCTTCATTTGGGCAGCCCGTTATTGTCGGAGTGGCGCCGACGGGCGGACAGTTGTATTCCGATGTCGACCAAGGGATGTCTCGACAGCCTCGGACACGGTCGCCGGTGAACAGCCGTGACCGGCGCTCGTCGTATTAAGTCGGGAATTGCCGTGTAACTCCAAGTGTGACATTCCACTGTACGGGAATCCGAGAGTACGCCTCCAGAACGACTGATACAAGAATATCAGGGTGATCAAAATTGCTGACTACAAAGTAATATATGGATGACGGAGAGAAGCTACTCATTCAACCAGACGGTACAAGGGATAACGCCACTTAAACAAGAAGAGATGAGAAAAGGATATTGAAAAATCATGTAATCATTTCGTGAATAGAAAATCAATTCAAATGGTGATAATGATGAGAAAATATGTTAACATAAATTATATCCAAATTTTTTTATATCTGAATTATATATAACATTTCAGGTGATAATACAGTAAGAATGTAAGTGCTTAGAAAAGATGAATCTACTTAAACCAACGTGGGATTTAGTCCCTTATTTTATATAATTTGTTGACTTGAATCTCCATTAATTATTATTTCTTATTCATTTTCTTCATATTTTTAAAGCCATACATGATTAGATTTCCTTAATAATTACCACTTCCAATTCAATATAAGTCATTATCTTGGATTTATCATCATTGCTATCGTTTAATGTGAAAGTTTTTCTATATTTTAAGGTAATTTTCTCATTTATGGATTTGGAGATATGAAGTCAAAAAATAAGAAAGTGAAGACCACATAGGTGAAGAAGATGAAATTAGCTAGAAAAAAATTCAGTAAAATAAACATTCAGCATTCAAGTGTTGGGTCTAAATGATACACACTAAGAAAGATACATTGCAATTTTTGTAATCCAGAAATAGAATTATAAAAGAAAATACTTAAATAAATGTAAAAAAGGAATGCAAAATCTTTCATATTTTGAAATATTTTAATTTATCAAGAAAAAAAATAAGAACAAATTTACAATTTTTTTCAATTAATTAAATTTCATTTATGTAAATATATGTAATAAAATTACATGTTCATGTATGTGTGAAGTGAATTGTCAAACATTACAACAAACCGTAATTCAATTGTTTGATAGACTTTTCTTGCACATGCTTGTGTTAGAAAATTCATTGACTATTATAGTTCATATCTTATATGAATATCAATATCTGCAAGCATATCTATGCTGCAACAAATAGATGACAAGAAAAATCAATGTTTATGACTCATCAATGTTTTATATATGCGTACTCATCAAGAGAATACACACATATAAAACTATTTAGCAATCTATTGAAATTTACAATATAATTAAACGAATATGTAAGATGACGATAAAATTAAAGACACATATTCAATAGGCAAGCGTGAATGATATGTTAACCATTAGAAGCTTCTAAACAAGCACATTTGATGTAATTTTACTATCTGATGTGTTTTTTTTTTTTACAAATAGATAAATTCTAATAATAATTAAAATTCATTCAATTGTAAACCACAAAAGCACATTATAACATAAAAAAATATGGAAATTTTTTATCTTATGATTATGATTATATTTATATTAAAAATAATATACATAAAAATAATGTGAATTTTGTTAAAACTTGTTTTGAAGTTTTTTAAATTCTTCTCAATAAATAAACTTATTTTTTTCACTTTGTTGTACTTTTTGTCATCGTTGTACTTTATTCACTGCAGCCAATTTGATTAGCACTGACTAATCAAATGTCAATGATGATAATGATGATTGGTAAAATAATGAGAATCAAGAAAATGAAGTATTTGTAAAAATTCAAATCATTAATAATTAAATAAATTACTGAAAATTGATAATTTTAAACATTTGAATTGAATGATACTTGGAACACTAATAAAATCAATAGTGATCTATAAAAATTATAATAAG